CTACTTTAAAACCAACTCAAGGGGTGCGCGTGCAGAGTAGCGGAGGACCAGCTGCAGCCATGACTTACGTAGATAGTCTACGAGCTGACACGGGTCTCAACGACAATGGAGAAATGGGTGGACTTATGGCGGATAGAGTTCTATGGAGAAAGCGCATCAATACTCGGATGGTGAAGCCGCCTTGAGTCAAGTTAGTAAGTAGGGGCTCAGTGGCCTAGTGGTTAGAGCATCTGCCTTCTGTGCTGAAGGTTCAGGGTTCGAATCCCCGTGTCACCAAGTCTAGGGAGAAGCTAAGGATCCATTGGATCTATGTCCTCAGTCGACTCAGCTGGTCTTAATGTGGTATCAAACAGTAGATGCAGTAAAAGTAGCAGTAAAATGAAGAAAGTCCACAGTTCTTTTCTTCCGGAGAGGGTCATTTTTGGTATGTTTCGGACGAAGTATTAGGAAAGATTGAGGAATTAAATTATGCTACTAACAAAGAGAAGCACAACGAATATCTTATGTGTAATCCTCATGTTGCTAAAAAACGCTTTATTTTAGATTATGTGCTATATACAAAAGCGGTAAAACAATATACACATAATATAACAATAGCAATGCAATTAAAGATATAAAACAGTATACACATAATGTCACAATGACCCTATATAAAAATAACCCTTCAAAAACTCAATATTTTGAAAATCACCCTTGGCCTTGCGGCTCCAAGTTCAAATCTAAACTGTCTATATTGACAAAGTTCTTTCTCGCCCCTCTGTCTCCCCGGAGAGAAATTACCGTCGTTCTTAAGATTTCGAAACGAAGGCGCTTCCTAATGTATCCCACAGCATCTGAGTACCTCTGCCCTGTGTGGTATTCCATCTTACTAGCCAGCTTCTTTACTAGTCTTTCAGCTTCACCACCCATTCCACCAGACGTTGAGAAAACTAACGGCGTGAAGCTTCCTTTCTCTACTTCCAGGACCCTTGCATTGTAACACCGTTTTTTCTCATTTTCATGGGACTGCTACATTGCTTTGATCGATTTGCTTGCATTGGAGGGGGCTGGGGCATGGAATACCCTTACATTGAAAAATGCCCTCTCTGAAGCATTCCAAATCGATCTTGCAGAAATGTCCAGCCTAGCTTGGTCTCCTAGGACTGCTCCATTTTGGCAACAATAACCCTATATATATATATATATATCTCTAAAACTCTGGTCACAAGAGCAACTGCCTAAACGTGCAGAAGTGAAAACAAATAAATAAAATATACTAGCAGTCCTTAATACTCGTAATAAATAGATTCATTCAATGTCATAAAACTCTTAACCATACACGTGACCAGTAAAATAATTTAATTGGTCTATAGACTACTGTATAAAATTCTCAATATATAAACTTTATTAACAATAATAAATTAGTTAAAATAACACCAACCTTTGGTGTATAAATGAGTAAACAACCTCTATTTGTCGTAAAATATCTTTCATGATATTATAGTATATGCTATAATATCAAAACTGTTTATTAGAGTTCAGGTAACAGAATTTAACTGTAATGGCACCTCTGTAGTATTATCCGTTGTTGAGATGTAACCATTTTTTCGTCCGGTCTTGATTAACCCGGCTCACGATACATATGCTTCGTCCGGTCTAACATTGAACCCGGCTCACTAATCATAGGGATGGTGTAGTAGTTGGAATATGACACACTGTTTACAGTTTTATCTCTGTTCGAAGGAATTCTTCTGCATCCCTTGTTATTTCAACCGCTAAATCAAAGAACTCGCGAAGTCTGCTCCATGATATTAACATTGAATTTCCACCATAGCCCTGGTTAAAGATGTTGTGGAATGGGTGTCTTTTGAGAAGCTCACTCATGCTGTTCCTTTTATTTAGTTTTATATCATGACAGAAGATAAGCAGGTGAAGTGAGTTTTGCTCCCCTCGTCCACATTCACACAGTGGAGAATCAAATTTGCTGCTGTTGAACCGGTGAAGAAATTCATTCATGATGTTGTTGGGGTAGAACAGACTTAGGAATAGGGTTTCAAGTTGCCTTGTTGTTTTGGGCGGAAACTTAAGCTTTGTGGTGCTCACTGTAGGTGCCTCTGTATAACCTTCCAACTGATACTGGCTGTTTATGGAAGATTGCCAAAGCTGTTCACTGTAATGTTTCATAACCAATTTACTGTAGCTGCATCCTTTTGTTGATAAACTGGAGAATTTCTCAAGGTCATGGTTATATAAAAATTCTATATAAAAATTCAATAAAAAATTTCATAAAAACCCTTTGTTGTAGTAGTAAAAGTAGCCAATTCAATTTGTTGGCTCTAAGTTAATATCTAAATCTGATATCTTAACTATACTACCACTTTTTATCCCTCTTTCTCCTCTAAGAGCAATAATTGTCGTTCTTAATAAGTCAAATCTTATTCTTTTCCTGATAAAAGTCATTGCTTCACTGTATGCTTTGGCCTGATTTTCTAGACATTCTATCAGCTAACTTTTTGAAGAACGTATTTGCTTCTCTTCCCATTCCACCTGCTGTTGATAGGACTATTGGTGTAAATGTTCCATTACATGTACATGTTTATTAACTCATATAGTAGTGTAAAGTATCTAATTTAGATTCATTTTTAATTTGGTTGTTTAGGCCAATAGATTTTAGATAATTTTAAAACTTTAGTAGATATATTTTTGATGATGTGTGATGATGTTTGTGTCAGTATATTTCGATTTGATTTGATTTGATTTAGCTGAATGATAGAAAACTTAAGTAAAACAAAATTTAAGTAAAACAAAATTAAAATTTTATTGCCATTATATGACAACGAATAAATAATTGACGATGTCAATTCATCTCAGCTCGGCGCGGCACAGTAGCGCATCCAGCCGATCGCTGTGAGAAGCCTCATTGAGTGCACGGCGCGGCACAGTAACGCATCGCGCTACAACATTTTTTTGAACATTTAAAATATAATTTGGAACATTACAGTAACGTTATTCAAATCTCAAACAGAAAAAAGTGTATTTCAAAGCTTTGTGTTTTGATCATATGATTATGAGTGTATAGTGATTTTGATTGCATAAATTTGATTGGGCCGGCAGTGATGGTGAGTGAGAAGATAATGGGAGTGCCAGCCAGTAACTCTGTCAAATGAACAGCCCACTGAGAAGTGGGTGAGCGCAAGCGCGAGAATGGCATAAAACGGAACACACGGCCACAGAAAAGATACAGAAACTAATCCGTGCGCGGTGAGTTAGCCAGTGTCTGAGAGCTAGTGTTTCCCGGCAGGTTGATTTACGATGTCAATCCTTCGCATCTCGCCGATCTGCATACGTGGTTGCGAGAAGCATTATTTGATGCGCGCGCGACCCAGTAGTGCATCGCGCTACAACCCGGCAGGAGGCATCCAAAAAAGGTGCCGTGGTGAACTGTGGAGGCAAAGTTCGAATGTAATGCATCTCTAAGTCTAACTGATGATGAAGAGGTAGATTGAACGGGAATGATATGTATAATGTAAATATACTTTCTTTCGTATTTATGAACGGGCGATATAGATACTTGTAAAATATTTGTTACAACTCGGTCTTGGTAAGTTATAAACATACAAACTATATACTATACTACTTGAAAATTCATCTCAATCATAAATCTTCTATCTGCAGCGCAGTGTTAATTGCTCTAACCAGAGCCCTCTCGCTTGCAGTAGCGCGCGACCGCCCAGCAAAAGTTACTGGCTGGCGGTGGTACTAGAGTTGGTTTAATTTAAACAGACGGCTTGACCTCGCGCGCGACATTAAGCATGATTTGCACGCGTGGCGCATTCCAATGTTCAAGCAGCTAGCATGTAACACAATTCAGCCAATCAGTTTACAGGAATCCGCAACGTTAAAGTTGCAAACTTTTGATCGGCCCAAAATGAGACTTTTCTGGAGATTTAGAAATAACTCAACAACTACGTTGTCTCAAATTTCCCCCTGGGGAGGAAACGTTATTTTACAAGACGAACATTTTGCAAAAAAGCGGAAGTCTAGTCTCTAACTCTTTTACTTTCAAAGTTAGGCCCCATCCAGTAAGGTTTCCTGGGTCTTCAAAGTCCGCGGTAAATCGGGGTTTTTTGTATCAATCTATTACTTTAAGATTAAGAATGTGTGACAACATTCGATCTTCTATAATAATTGAAATTTATCTATCCAATGATGCACTCCTTTTCCCATCACGTGACTCTACCCTCCATTGACAAACTATTAACCGTCCTGCTGCTACAGCTACATTATTCCTTCTTCTGTCTTTAGATTAACAGAGCAATGACCAAATTCAGTTTAACCACGTGTTTATTCGCCCAAAATGAACTACAGCACTGCCGACGTACTCCACGTCTCTATAAAAAATACCTTTTTTCCGCACTATAGATTAAAGACACTTATTCCATATTCATCCAATCATGATACATGAATCATACTCCATCACGTGACTCTACTCTCCATTGACAAACTATTAACAAAATCTTGTATCACGTCATGACCCCCATTGTCGTTTCACTAAGTGGCGTTTCACTTAGTGAAAGCCACGATACAGCCGCACACACGTGCGAGGCAGGTCTACATTACTGGGCGACGCTCAGCCTGTCATTCCGCCGAATCTTTATATCTTTAAACATATTATGTTTATGAACATAATAGCCTGGGGTAAGGTCTACAATGTGTGACAACAATAACCGCCTGCTACCCAGTACCCATTATTCCTTCTTCTGTCTTTAGATTAACAGAGCAGATGACCAAATTCAGTTTAACCAGAGTCCACGTGCTTATTCGCCCAACTACAGCACGTGACCACGGCCCGCGCCCGCAACGTCTCCAGATCCAAGACACTAGGCCAGGTGTTTATTCACCGCGGCAGAAGGAGTAGGGACCTTTTCACGCGCAGATTGGGAAAATACGGCCATCTCGCTCTTAGACAGCTTGATTAGTGTGTTTATTCGTTTTCATTTGACAAATGAAGTACACCAATGTATTCATAAAGGTTTACACATGATCACACAGAAAGAATTTTAAAAATCGGATAAAATCTGTTAAAATGGTAAAAAGAAACCTCCGCGCATTTGGTAATATTGAACGAATTTGCGCCCATAATTTTTGTCTTCATTAAACAATTTCTTGGCTGATAGACACAATACAAAAATTGTGCAGTTAAGTGTAGAAAGCTGAAATGATTTTCTAACCGTACATATTAAAATTTTTCCTCAAAATTGATGTCTTAAATCACAATAGATACCATATTGAAATCAGTCCGCCGATAAAAATATTACATATCTGGCGCAAATATATCTCACTTAATCGTTGTCGGTTTTTAACACAAATTTCTACAAATAAAGTCTTTATTTCTCCAAATGAGCATAATATTCTATTATACAATTAATATTTGGCAGTTTTGACATTTTAGTAATAAGAAATGTTTCTTTGGTTGATACGAAAAGATAAAGTTTAGTTTTTTCGGCAGAGAACTATTATAAGAAGTGATTTGTCCGATGTATCTTCATTGTGGGTTATTCACTGAATTAGAAACATTATTTCCATGTCATCATTCATCATCGTTTGGTGCTCTACCATGCTTGCTGATGGAATAAAATGTGGGATATTCCGGTTTCAATTATCTGTTATCACCCATCGACTGTCTGTAGTGTCACACGGTTGACGACTAGAGGAACTGAAAATATGTACGACATTAGTTAAAAGTGTAAACAAGAGAAGTCAGAGTATAAACAGTTAAACTGGTATCCAATTAGTATGTCAAGATGGAGTAAAGTGTAGAATAGTAATGGTTTTATGACCGTTGGGCTTGCATTGAAATTAGGCGGGAAAAATTGTGTACACAGCACTGAGGTCCCTACTCCAAGAGGCAAGAAAACGCGCGCGCAAACTTCAAAAGGTCCCGAATCCAGCCGACCAAAATGGTAGTCGATCTCATTGTAGAATTTGACCGTAGAGAAATTTACTAACTAACATTAATTTTGTTAAAACTGCGTTATCATATTTGTTAAACAATCCTCCAAAGTCACAGCAAGTTGTTCATATATTGGTAATCTATTGCAGAAATACCGTATTTCTTGTTTTCGGTCGGAGCAAAACGCAAAATGGGGCAAAATTTCGCAAAAGCTTTAAAGTTTTATATCAGTAAGATGATTTGATTATAAGGCTGTAGGTACCTCCAATCCTACTTAATCAGATTTGCTGGTCCAAGGTAAATCGGTGACAAATCGAATCAAATGCGTGTAGATTCGGTTGAATTCTAGCACATTCAAGCACATTTTTCTAATCCTAGGTAGATATAATAACGTGGTCATGGTAAGTAAATAAAACTTGAGCATAAAGTTAGCTACTATATGGTTGTTAGAAATTACCACAATTGCACTTTTAAACTTCACAACTGAATCACCAATCAATTCTTGTCACTACTTCAAAGTTTTGAGACGGCAGAATGTTGTGAATTGTGAATCCTAAGCTATCACACCAGTTCAATTACACTTCAAAACTTCAAAACTGAATCACCAATCAATTCTTGTCACTACTTCAAAGTTTTGAGACGGCAGAATGTTGTGAATTATAGCTCATAAGCTATCACTCCAGTTCAATTACATTTTCTTACTTCAAAACTGAATCACCAATCAATCCTGGTCACTATTTCAAAGTTTTGAGTCGGCAGAATGTTGTGAATTATGGTTCCTAAGCTATCACTTCAGTTCAATTACACTTTTAAACTTCAAAACTGAATCACCGATCAATTCTGGTCACTATTTCAAAGTTTTGAGTCGGCTGAATGTTGTGAATTATGGTTCCTAAGCTATCACTCCAGTTCAATTACACTTTTAAACTTTAAAACTGAATCACCTATTAATTCTGATCACTATTTCAAAGTTTTGAGTCGGCAGAATGTTGTGAATTATGGTTCCTAAGCTAATAACGTGGTCATGGTAAGTAAATAAAACTTGAGCATAAATTTAGCTACTATATAGTTGTTAGAAATTACCACAATTGCACTTTTAAACTTCACAACTGAATCACCAATCAATTCTTGTCACTACTTCAAAGTTTTGAGACGGCAGAATGTTGTGAATTGTGGTTCCTAAGCTATCACACCAGTTCAATTACACTTCAAAACTTCAAAACTGAATCACCAATCAATTCTTGTCACTACTTCAAAGTTTTGAGACGGCAGAATGTTGTGAATTGTGGTTCCTAAGCTATCACACCAGTTCAATTATACTTCAAAACTTCAAAACTGAATCACCAATCAATTGTTGTCACTACTTCAAAGTTTTGAGACGGCAGAATGTTGTGAATTATAGCTCATAAGCTATCACTCCAGTTCAATTACACTTTCTTACTTCAAAACTGAATCACCAATCAATCCTGGTCACTATTTCAAAGTTTTGAGTCGGCAGAATGTTGTTAATTATGGTTCCTAAGCTATCACTCCAGTTCAATTACACTTTTAAACTTCAAAACTGAATCACCAATCAATCCTGGTCACTATTTCAAAGTTTTGATACGGCAGAATGTTGTGAATTATGGTTCCTAAGCTATCACTCCAGTTCAATTACACTTTCTTACTTCAAAACTGAATCACCAATCAATCCTGGTCACTATTTCAAAGTTTTGAGTCGGCAAAATGTTGTTAATTATGGTTCCTAAGCTATCACTCCAGTTCAATTACACTTTTAAACTTCAAAACTGAATCACCAATCAATCCTGGTCACTATTTCAAAGTTTTGAGTCGGCAGAATGTTGTTAATTATGGTTCCTAAGCTATCACTCCAGTTCAATTACACTTTTAAACTTCAAAACTGAATCACCAATCAATCCTGGTCACTATTTCAAAGTTTTGATACGGCAGAATGTTGTGAATTATGGTTCCTAAGCTATCACTCCAGTTCAATTACACTTTCTTACTTCAAAACTGAATCACCAATCAATCCTGGTCACTATTTCAAAGTTTTGAGTCGGCAAAATGTTGTTAATTATGGTTCCTAAGCTATCACTCCAGTTCAATTACACTTTTAAACTTCAAAACTGAATCACCAATCAATCCTGGTCACTATTTCAAAGTTTTGAGTCGGCAGAATGTTGTGAATTATGGTTCCTAAGCTATCACTCCAGTTCAATTACACTTTTAAACTTCAAAACTGAATCACCAATCAATCCTGGTCACTATTTCAAAGTTTTGAGTCGGCAGAATTTTGTGAGTTATGGTTCCTAAGCTATCACTCCAGTTCAATTACACTTTTAAACTTCAAAACTGAATCACCAATCAATCCTGGTCACTATTTCAAAGTTTTGATACGGCAGAATGTTGTGAATTATGGTTCCTAAGCTATCACTCCAGTTCAATTACACTTTTAAACTTCAAAACTGAATCACCGATCAATTCTGGTCACTATTTCAAAGTTTTGAGTCGGCAGAATGTTGTGAATTATGGTTCCTAAGCTATCACTCCAGTTCAATTACATTTCCTTACTTCAAAACTGAATCACCGATCAATTCTGGTCACTATTTCAAAGTTTTGAGTCGGCAGAATGTTGTGAATTATGGTTCCTAAGCTATCACTCCAGTTCAATTACACTTTTAAACTTCAAAACTGAATCACCGATCAATTCTGGTCACTATTTCAAAGTTTTGAGTCGGCAGAATGTTGTGAATTATGGTTCCTAAGCTATCACTCCAGTTCAATTACATTTTCTTACTTCAAAACTGAATCACCGATCAATTCTGGTCACTATTTCAAAGTTTTGAGTCGGCAGAATGTTGTGAATTATGGTTCCTAAGCTATCACTCCAGTTTAATTACACTTTTAAACTTCAAAACTGAATCACCGATCAATTCTGGTCACTATTTCAAAGTTTTGAGTCGGCAGAATGTTGTGAATTATGGTTCCTAAGCTATCACTCCAGTTCAATTACACTTTTAAACTTCAAAACTGAATCACCGATCAATTCTGGTCACTATTTCAAAGTTTTGAGTCGGCAGAATGTTGTGAATTATGGTTCCTAAGCTATCACTCCAGTTCAATTACACTTTTAAACTTCAAAACTGAATCACCGATCGATTCTGGTCACTATTTCAAAGTTTTGAGTCGGCAGAATGTTGTGAATTATGGTTCCTAAGCTATCACTCCAGTTCAATTACACTTTTAAACTTCAAAACTGAATCACCGATCAATTCTGGTCACTATTTCAAAGTTTTGAGTCGGCAGAATGTTGTGAATTATGGTTCCTAAGCTATCACTTCAGTTCAATTACACTTGCAAATAAATACTTAATAAATAACAAAAATAAATACTTACTGATTGGACGATAGTCTGCTGCCACTGATCCGCAACTCTCCGCTCCAATCGGTTAATCTGGTACTGTGCTTGACATTTTGCTAGAAAGGGTAAACCCGGTTAAATGTAATCTGTCACAAAAGGTAAGAAAGGCGTGATCAGAAGTCAAAACTAACATCCTAAGCTACCATTCTAGTTGTGGTTGAAAACGAAGAGACACTATGTAACAAAACTAGATGGCCGAGTGGGCTAAGCTGTCACCATTTGAATAGACGGTCAAGGGTTCGAATCCCAGTGTCAAATAGCTAAAGATATGTGGATCTACCTTACAATGTACAAGTTACACAGTAAAGTGTTATTTTTCTTAGGTGGGGTTGTTTGAAAATGAAACATGTAAATCCAAAATCTGTTATGTCTCACAAAACTGTGGTTCAGCAGACCAAGAAATTTAAACCTTATATCCGAACGACGTCCAAGACCCTGTACGTCATGTACAAATTCATTACAATCTTATATGTTTTAGCCTAATTTATATTTCTTAGCTAAGTTAAATCTTGAACGGGCCAGCAACAACTGAATACGGTAATGTGATCGTTTAAGTACAAAGAAAAACAGTGCAATTGACAGTGATAAGAAAGTTAGCGTTGCAAAGATTCAAGAGTCGCAGGAATGATACAAATCATACGTGTCATGATCCAACGCGAATGGCGAAACAAAATTGCGTTGGCACTTATATTTCATATCCCAATGTCTTGCGCGGCGTAAGATTGTATTTATGACGCGCACAAAATTTACAGCTTTTTGCACTTAAAAAATTTTTTTTCCTATCATGATCAAAAAAAAAGTTATGAACAATTTTATACACCTTTTTTGGCTCATATTTTTGCGATTTTTCCCAACTTTTTTTGCTCTGACACGTACCATTTTTTACAGTTTTCTTCAATTTTTATCAAACCTTCACTATTCATTTATTTAAACATTTTATTTCATGTTTTACATTCCACTTTTGCCGCAACTTTCATAAGTGTTTCCAAAAACTTATTTTGCTATCGCAAACCCCGAATTTTGCCAATTGTACGCGGAAAAGGTCCCTACTCCTTCTGGCGCGGTGTTATTATTCGATCGTGTTTGGATTATATCGTACGGATATGATTTTTTCATAACTTATTTGACTGTTGGTAAATCTTTACGACGAGATGAGATTCTTCGCAATTTCATATTTAATAGGGTAAGAAATACTGATATCAGATATGTGTTTTTATTTTTCCAACAAATTGTCCAACAATCAACTTGGTAACATTTTGTAAAGAATCAAGGAGTGAAGGAGGTATATAATTATAATAAAGTTATCTGTATCATTTGGAGGAGTGATTAATTAATGTTGCACAATTATATATCCACTTGGATTCTCCATCTAAACCAAATTGAAATAAGAACAATTATTTTATTTTAGCAAGGGTTTTGTATTATATTGACAATTGAGTCACCTCGTAATACGATATGATATACGAGGCTCGTATATCATAGGACTACATCAGTTTATAATTATTGTACATTTACATTTTATAAATTCGACTATCATTTCAATCTTCGAATGTTATTTTAAGTCTACAATCATGATGAATATTAATTTAACAAATCAACTAATTCACTTTTCCTATTTGCAGTTTAACGCTCGTACTATATCGCGGGGTGAGAACTGCAGAGGATACATTTGGAAATGAAACTGTGGTACCGGGTGAGTCACAGTATAACTGTATAATAACTGTATAATTACTGTATAATTACTGTATGATTACTGTATAATAACTGTATAATAACTGTATAATAACTGTATAATTACTGTATAATTACTGTATAATTACTGTATAATTACTATATAATTCCTGTATAATTACTGTATAATTACTGTATAATAACTGAGTAACTGTATAATTATTGTATAATAACTGTATAATAACTGTATAATAACTGTATAATTACTGTATAATTACTGTATAATTACTGTATAATTACTGTATAATTACTGTATGATTACTGTATAATTACTGTATAATTACTGTATAATTACTGTATAATTACTGTATAATAACTGAGTAACTGTATAATTATTGTATAATCACTGTATAATAACTGTATAATTACTGTATAATTACTGTATAATTACTGTATAATTACTTTATAATTACTGTATAATTACTGTATAATTACTTTTTAATTACTGTATGAAGATCCAGATAATTGATCACGGTGCTGTCAAGGATGATCGTGCCTTTTATACATTCTATACTATTATACCCCTTTCACTGGTTTTTCAGGCATTAAGGCTCATTGGAAGTCGTTCAGCAGGTTTATTTTAGTTCAAAACATTCTAATTCGATGTCAAAGATGACAGGAATAAGAAATAGTTTAAGTTATGTGGAGGTTTTTAAGAAATTTGTGCAAAATACGCGTCAGCACTGTTAAATACGAAATTCGGTAAAAAACCCAAAATCGCCATATTCAGGTGCCTTAAAAACCATGTTAAAATTGAGTTAGAGATCTGAAACTTTGCAGGGCGTCTAGACGTTGACCAAATCGACTGCAAAAAAAAGTTTCAAGTTTCAGGAGCATCGGGAAGCGGGTTTTCTAGAACCCCTGTTTTACGACAGATTGTCGTGATACATACATCTTAAACAATGATCTCAGAATGTGTGTCTGTGTGTGTGTGCGCGTGTAATTTCCTAGCGGCTTAATCAAGAAAACGGTAAGAGTTACGGGACTGGTTTTTTCGGTATAGTTTCGACAAAACTCTGACGAAGCCAAATGAATAAGGTTTTTCAAATTGGTCGGTGGTAAGTGGTTTAATTAATGGTTTTGTAACACAAATGTGACATGAAATGGCTCAAAGTTTGCACGGTCATGCTTGCCAGCACTGTGATATATACATGTATATATATATGTATATTGTATATGATTTTAAGTAAGAAAAAGCCGAAATAACGTCTTATCTGAAGATTGGATATCTTATGCTCTTGTCTTGACAGAGCTGACTATACTTTTTAAAACAGTTTCACTTTCGTGTGATTGACCTCCTTAAAATGATCAAATTCCTACCAATGAAAGCTGAAAGGTGTACCTTACCCTTAATGAACAAACATTGTATACTCAATGCTTTAATGTGACAATAATCTTTGGGGTAATGATGGAAGGCTGTCAACTATAGCATAACGTATTACACAGTTTTTGTTGTATTAGAATTTTGAATTGTTGCCATGTATTAAGGTACATTTGAGTTTTTACTTTACTGCCTTCGGGTAGTTCTACTTAGTCTATTACAATTGTAAATGAATGGGAAAAGCGAGCGACCGATTTCATTCTCGGTATCATTTTGCATTTGCGGACGGTTATTCAAATTAATATCATTTCCTTTTGTTTGGGAAAGAGAGACACTGGCGGCGGTTCACTCTACCCATGATTATGGGTTTTGGTCAAATATTTGTATCATAAAATCATGACATCAACCACTTGCCAATACAGCTTAAACAATAAATTGGATCATACGATGTCCAATGACCAACGATTCTGGGCAACAAAATGTCTAATAAATCTGAGAATAAATATCCAATTCAGGTATCGTGTTCCAAATCGTTGATGAAAATGGCAACGATGTTCCCGAGGGTAAAAAAGGTCTGTTGCTCTACAAGTCTGGAACAGTGTGTGGCGATATATTTTCTAATAATACTGCACAAACGATCTGTAAAGAAATGGGATTTAGTGGCGCATACAGTACGGAAAGTGGATACCAATTTGACTTACAAGATAGCTTGGACATCAAACTGCATTTTGTGCAATGCTATAGTGAACATCAGTGGTCATCTTGTTATTACAGTGAATCTACCAATAACTGTGACCATGATGATGATGTCTTCTTAACTTGTGGCAAAGGTAAACTTTTTACATGGACTGATGATGACAACTTCGATCGTATTTATAAAATTAGTTTGTCAGATGTAGTCGTGGCTTCATAGATAGTACTAATTTTCTAGTTTTATCACGGTTTTGATGAAGGCGTTATAAACCGAACCAAAAATTAGGTTGACCCTATTTTTACTTTCTACGAAGCTGATTCTAATATAGTGCTTTATTTTTCAGTTGATGGAGGGTATAGTGATTCTAATATAGTGCTTTATTTTTCAGTTGATGGAGGGTATAGTGATGCTAATATAGTGCTTTATTTTTCAGTTGATGGAGGGTATAGTGAATTCGGAAATTGGTCAGAATGTTCAGCCACTTGTGGGGGAGGCAGACAAACTCGAAGAAAAACTTGCACTGAACCTACTCCGTCACACGATGGTGCGGATTGTGTTGGGGAAGCGTCCGAGACTCAACCTTGCAATGAAGATGACTGTCCACAGTGTCCAGGTGTGAATCATCAGTAAAAGTCTTCACGCATCCACTTTTTAATTTGAATACTGATATCTTGTTCCAAATGTCCATTAAACTTTCCCAATCGTTTAAGTAATTTGTCTCGATTATACCTGTATTTACTAGAATGGAGATTCAGATAGCTGATATTTTAATTATAAAATCATGACTTCACCTACTCGCCATGACAGCTTAAAGAATAAATAGGACCATACAATGTATAATATGTACATCTGAGAATGAATATCCAATTCAGATTCAAATGAAACGGGTGTCTTGTTCCAAATCGTTGATGGAAATGGTACTGATGTTCCGAAGGATAAAGGAGGTTTATTGCTGTATAAGGGTGGAACAGTGTGTACCAATAATTTTGATTATAAAGCTGCACATTCGATCTGTAAAGAAATGGGATTTAGTGGTGCATTACTTTGGGGACCCGGAAGAAATTTTGACCAATATCGCTATCTCAGCAATTTGGATCAAGTGCAATGCATTGCAGATGATCATTGTTGGTCATCTTGTAGTTACAATGAATATCCTTACTACGGCTGTGGAGGATCTTCTAGAGTCTTCCTAACTTGCTTTGAATATGACTGTCCAGGTTTGTATCATCAATAAAAGTATTCATGAATCCACTTTTCAATTTGAATTGTCTTTTGCAACCGTTGTTTTCTGTTTAAAAAAAACAAAAAAGAAATACTACTCACTTCCTCAGATTGGGAGTTTTATGAGGCAGCCCTGATCCAAGAGGAAAACGGTACAGATATTCGTTCAACGAATGAAGGTTTGCTAATCGTAAACTTTGCCAATAAACTGAGTGGAGAAAAGATGAATGTGACCGTTTGTCCTGGTAACTTTAACTGGTACGCAGCTAATACCTTTTGTCGTTACTTTGGTAACGAACAGGGAATGTGGGACAGCAAACCAAACAACTTGACGCTCATTTCCGAGTAAGTTTTTATTTTATTTTTTTGTTGAACATTGATGCAAACACGACACGCTGGACGTCATACTCCGATAATTTTATGCGACCAACAATATATTCCAGAACGCTGCTACAATATAACGGATCTGTGTTATTGAGTGTAATAAGCTGCAAGGACGATGAAGATGAAAATTTGAAATGTGATGCCAGGATTTCAGCAGACAGCTGTGATACAAATGATAGTGTGTGGCTAAATTGCAACAGCGGATCAGGTTTATACTTTATGTTAATTCAGGATAAAATTGAATATATAAAATTTTGTTGAAAATTTGTTAAAAACAATTTTATGATCAATATATTATTAATCTCAGTTCATCTCAAAATAACTAAAAACTCAACAGATATGTGGATTCCTGTCGTAGATGGCAACCGTATCGGCCCTGTTAATCCAGGGACGTCTTACCTGCACTTAAGAACAGACAGTGCTGTGGGTAGTGGTGACATAATCACAGTAGATTACCATGATAAAGAAGAGACAGTAACAGCACAAGATTCATATCGAGCTTTTGTTATCAAGTTCGACTCCCCTGTAAAGTATTTGCTGAGGGAATGCCATAGTAACTATGTTAACTTCTACTCAAATCTACCTGATGAAGTGGATAAACACTGGGTGATTAAGAAACGGGGATACAGAATTGTAATATTCTGTAACGGAGAACTGGTCGTTAACACGACTGTGTGTGAGAGTTTTGACTATGGCTGGATAGATCATTGGAGACGAGACGTGGACGGTATTACTATAAAGTCCACGATCGGCGTTAATTCCACTGCAACTGCACTGTCACAATCGTATTACATAGGTTGGTACTTGGTTGCAAGGCTGTTAATTAGTTTAGAATTAGTAAGAGAGGACACAATGTATATCAAAACCCGGCAGTGTTTTGTCTGTTACTGGATACGTGGTGTTGTGACGTCACGTGGTGTTGTGGTGACGTCACGTGGTGTTGTGACGTCACGTGGTGTTGTGGTGACGTCACGTGGTGTTGTGACGTCACGTGGTGTTGTGGTGACGTCACGTGGTGTTGTGGTGACGTCACGTGGTGTTGTGACGTCACGTGGTGTTGTGGTGACGTCACGTGGTGTTGTGGTGACGTCACGTGGCGTTGTGGTGACGTCACTGATACAGCTGAGGATCAGTAATATAAGGGCGTAGAAGGAATTATTGTGTAGTACATTACGTAATACATACTCGTGTTTATTTATTTTTTGACTAAGTACGGGCAGATAAGAATCATGTGCTGCAAAATCGTTAGGGTATCTTTATTTTCTCTTTTAACTATCAGTTCATGCTAACTGTTTCCATGATCGTTTCAGAACATGTTTGGGAGTATGAAAGAGCAAATCTGATCAAAGTGATTGAAGGAAGAAAAATAATAAATGATAAGGAAGGTCTTCTGATAGCAACAGTTGTGAATAAACAAACCAGGGAAGAGAAAAATGTGAGCGTCTGTAAGGAATTGTTTAACTGGCATTCAGCACAGCTCTTCTGCTGGTCACTTGGACATCACTTCTCAGACTGGGGGAGTTACCCGACAAACATGAAATACGTTCCTGAGTGAGTATTAATTCGTTTATCAACTTTTTGCATTTATTAATACACCGTTTCACTGTATAAGATTGGACATATTTTACCTCTAAATATTTGAACATTTTGCAACCATTTCTCATCAAATCCTTCAGAAATTGGCGTAATCCGGATAACTTTTCAATTACAATGGATGAGGTCAGCTGTAAATATAGTGACACCGGCAAATCGGATTGTCATTCTAGCCCTAGGGTAATGACACACACCTGTGAATACCGGGATAGCATTTGGCTCCGCTGCTTTAGTAATACAGGTTTGAAAGAGGATGAAACGATTATCCTAACTATTAAGGGTTTCTATAGTTTCATAGCGTGACAAATTTTACCACATCATGCCATTTAATAGGGTCACCACTCACTAATATTTATTAATATCCTCAAACGTCAATGAACGTGTTTCATATTGTAAATATTTCAAAATTGAACATAGAAATCTTTCAGGGTGTGCCAAGGAAAATCAAGTGGTATCAAACAAAAGTTGTACAGTAACAAACATTGGCGGATTTTTGAAAAATTTGTGTTTTGATGAGAGTATAAAAGATTACTTTCACTTGTGCGCTAATTCGAACGTTACCTATGTAATGGGTACTGAGAATCATACACTCTCAAGTGTCTCCTCGGTGTGTGACAATGACCCGTATGTTTATCAGGCGTGTGGTTTTGATACAAAAACAACAAAACAAAGTGGCCTCTGCAGTGGAGGTCCTACTGACAACACCACCGATATTACTTGCGATGACAAATGTGGTTACACATACAGAATCTACTGTAATTTCTATGGTGACGTGTATGGCGTCGTACCTTGGTATCAGGTTTGTGATGGAATTGAACAATGTCGCACACACGGGGAGGATGAGAGGGACTGTGATGTTAAGAGCACCACACTACACAGTACATGTCTTCATTACGGCAAGAAATACTGGGATAAAATTAACAAGAAAGTCCCCATACTTAGAAACACTAGGTGTAGTGTGTTTGATCTTGATTGGCCTGGCAAATTTCCGTACTGTTACGATTATCTAGACCAGACAAACTGCAGTGATGTGAACAAAGTGGGAGGTAACTGTTTGGTCAATGATTATATGTCAGTCGTGTCAAAGTACGTGGTATGTGGTAGCGAATTTAAGCGTACCAATAAACCGGTTAATCTATGTGACGATAACCTAGAAGACAAATGTACTTCACTACCTCAACCTGGGTTAGCTAATGACTGTGTCGTCCACAAACACAGACTTTGCGATGGAGTTAGTGACTGTGTTGATGGTAGTGATGAGACCCTTGATATATGTCAGTACACAACGTTGGGTTATTTAAAATGCAGAAGAGGCTTCAATACTGATAAAAACATGCCAATACCTGTCAAATGGTTACTGGATGATCAAACAGATTGTCTGGATGGAGAAGATGAAAAAAGAAACCTTAAGGTGACATACTGTGAAGAAATAAATGAAGGTACTGAAAGAATAAATTTAGGAAACAAAACATGTCAGGACGTTTTTCTGTGTCCAGGAGATTCCAAGATTAGTTATGTTGAGTTTGACGCTCTTTGTGATGGTATAAACTCTTGTGAAGTTGAAAATGATATCTGTACGATTTCAAGAGATTTCCCGAGCATCAATGCATCTGCTGTTATCAACAGTTGTAATGTGCGAGATTTGTGCGAATCAATGGAACAATCCGAAAATGTAACTTGTCATGTTCAAGAATTTCAGAGTCCAGCAGGAAATACATTTGGTGTCAAAATGATGATAAATGTCCCAACTTCAAAGACAAAAGTTGACTGCAGTATTCAATATGGTGAATATTATGTCTTCTTGAGTTGCATGGGTTTATGTCTAAACTCCACGTGTCCTCTTCAGAACACTTCCTTAGACTATGATTCATGCCCCGGTCAGTATCCTGACCGGATCCACACTCTCGCTAACAATTCTGCTCTAACATTTGTGACTATGTCTGATGAAGGTGAATATGAAAATGCACATTTCCAGTGTGATAACAAAAAGTGTGTTCATTATAGCCAAGTTTGTAACCTGGTTGATGACTGTGGTGACTTGTCAGATGAACGACTTTGTAAAAACCATTTAGTTTGTGAGGATACTAAAAACCGGACAAAACAGGACCTAATATCTTATTCCCAAAGGTGTGATGGTAAATTTGACTGCTTCGATTTATCTGATGAATGCAATCAGTCATGTGGCAAGGAAATCTTAGCCAATTGGGTATTGAAACTTAGTTGCTGGCTGCTGGGCCTTTTGGCATCCATTTTTAATGTCGTCATGGTGGCCAAAGTTGGAAGTTCCATAAGAGAATCTGAATCAGGTAGTATGCTGTGCACTAGAGTGCTGATCTGTTTAATCGGATTAGGCGATCTACTTATAGGAGTCTACTTGATCGTATTGTCTGTATTCGACAGTATCATTTTAGGAGAGGATTACTGTGCAAAGCAAGCAGAATGGTTATCAGGCACTGCTTGTTCTGTTTTGGGAGTGATTAGCACTACGGGATCGCAACTTTCTCTATTTTCGATGACTGCTTTGAGTTTGATTAGGATGAGGGGAATTGTGAATAATTCTATGATTGCTCCTACCCGCGTCAATAAAAAAGCAGTAATAAAAGCTGCCATGATTGTGATCGGAATCATTACTGCTTCGCTATCAGTGGCACTCATACCATTGGTCCCCGCCTTAGAGGACTACTTTGTGAAAGGTTTCTTCTATGACCGAGACTACAAGCTATTTATTGGTTTTCCGAACAAAATAAAGCACGTCAAGATTCTTCAAGCATATTACAAAAATGAGAGCTTCTCTAGAGATACATCCTGGACTGATATTGGCGAAAAAGTAGATGCAATGTTCAGTCATATTAAGAGTTATGGAAGTGGAAGCTTGAATAAAAGTGCTGTTCACTTTTACGGTAACGATGGTGTGTGTCTTTTTAAATACTCCGTTCGAAGTGATGACCCAAGGAGAAGCCGAACGATATCAGATGTGGAAGAGGACTTGATCGACGTGAAAGGAAATATGATAGTTTGGCTCATGCTAGGTGTAAACCTATGTTGTTTTTTGTTCATTACCGTGTCCTACTTGTTGATCTACATTAAATCCCGGCAATCATCCAGGAATTCTGGGCAAAACAGCAATCCAGAAACTGTCCGCAGAAACCGAGCAATGGAAAACAGGATTGCGCTGGTCATAGCCTCGGATTTCGCTTGTTGGGTTCCATTCATAATCATCAGCGGGCTCCACAATCTCGAGTCAATCGATGCTACAGATTGGTACCTCACTTTTGCAATGATAGTTTTACCCCTCAATTCTGTCATAAACCCGATGCTGTATGACAATACTTTGAGAGAATTTTTTAGTAAGATTTTTACTTTACTTAACTTTATTGTCCAAAGTGTTGCTGTTAGATTTCCAAATCGTGGCAGATATTTGAGAGCAACTAAAGAGGCTCCAGAAGAAAGGCAAATTGTAGAAATGGGAGGTGATATTGACAAGGGGGCACCTGCCGACGAGGGTATCATGGAAATTTAGATAGAAATATGGAAATAGTGATAACAAGGTAAGACTTCATATAATATATTTACGAAGATTTTACACGTTTATCAGGTTCTTGGAGTTGTAGGATTTAGTTTTCACTAAGCACTATAGTACTAAATATGCGGTAATTCACGGTTGAAAATTTAAGAAGAGGTAAGCAATTAATTATTAATTAGCTCATAGATATCAACATCAGTTTAAATATCTCTGATCATCTCAGCTGATTGATATAATTATTCTAATTTTCAGGAAATCATTACGTTATGGATTCTTTCAACTAGTAAGCTAGTATTACCAAATGTATAGACAGTACAATCCCTGGTCGGAAACCGAATGGAACTTTCATCTTTAAAGACACCACGTGATCAAAACGATTATTATATTTGTACCCAGGTCTGGTTAACTTTAAGTTATAAATTATGTGTTGCAGTGTTTCTATTTTAAAATGTCACCCGACCTTGTAGTATATTTTATTTAATTCTATCTTTTCTTTTGAGAAGAAATTTATTTAAAATCCAATATGCTGGAACCCATTAACCATGACTGGATGTGATGAGTATTATACGAATATGTTCACACACGAGGGACTACTTGTTGTTGTATTTGCAAATATCTGACTAGTGACATTTAACTTTAATGATTTTCGTTGCTTTTTGTTATAATTGGACTGTTGAATATATCAAAAGTAACATATAAACTTATAAAAAAGTGTGAAGAGGTACATCTAACATCCGTTTCCGTACCTGGAAAGTGGAAACAGTATTTTACTTTTACGACACTTTAAAACTTTCAAATCTAATTGTATTCTTTCGACATCGGACGTTTTTTATTTGAGCATCATTAGTATTTACTTATTAATAACTAATTAGTCATTTAAATATCTTTCCTTGACAAATCTATTGTGTAATTGTAGTTTTAAGTTATCATCTTAGTTGTATATTGATTTTTCATTTTAAGTATGATTTTGCGCTCCTACTAAATCGCTCGCCCAAATTTTAAGAAAATTTTTGTGAAAAGGCCCTTTGGGTGTGAAATTGATCTGAATCGGTGTCTTTTTGGACGCTGATTCCGAATAACCCCCATGACGTAGGGTAAAAATGCTTCCCTGGAGAGTTATGGGCAAAAAACCGTTTTGGTCACGTGAATTAACGGGTGATACTCGTAAAATATCTGTTCCATATACCGTCGACGAGTCCAACTCGGCGCGCGTCCTGGTAAGTTGTAAACCTACAATCACGTGAAAGGCTTAAAAGGCTAGTAAAACATGAATTCGAGTGTTTAGGGCTCGGGTTAGGGTGCGGGTTGTGGTAAGGGTTATGGATAGCTTCGGGGTTATGGTTAGGGTTAGGGTTGGGATCAGGGTTTATGTAAAACCGTTTTATACGGCTGCAAAACCATAAAAACCAAAGTCACGTGAAATTTTTGGGCGAGCGAATTAGTAAAAGCCATGATTTTGGGCCGATCAAAAGTTTGCAACTTTAACTTTGCAGATTCTGTACCATGTACTCTGATTGGCTGAATTGTGTCAGCTAAAGCTTCTTGAACATTGGAATGCACCTTTACTTGATTCACGATGTCAATCCTTCCCAGCTCGGCGAGGCCCAATGGTGCATTTAGCGCCGATCTACGGTTGCGAGAACTAACTCTCTAACTTTTTAACTTTCAAAGTTAAGCCCCATCCAGTAAGGTTTCTTGAGAAATGGCAGCGTTTGATTGACGATGTCAACCCATCGAGATCGTTGCTCTGCGAAGCAGAGCAACGATCGACGATGGGTTGCAAGAGCGAAGCAAGAATGCTAGTTTGCGCGGTGCGTCGAAGCGGCGAAGTCCTCCGATGCAATGGCAGCGTTTGATCGAAAACCTGGTTTCAGCCGCGCACTGAGTTAGATGGTAAAATCTAAATATTTGATTGTAAAATCGCATAAACGCGCTTACTTGCGCGTTTTAGAGGGTTCAATTACGCCAGGCTATGTTTATCAACATAATAGCCTGGGGTCTCCATACCAGGTACACAGGGGGGGCTGAAACCAGGTTTTCGCGTCGATCAAATGCTGCCATTTGTAGTCGAACGTCGCCAACAGTTGCTCTCGTCCAATGAAATCGCTGCATTTTGCAAGTCAGTATGCATAATTGAATTACATATATTCATATGCGGAGCTTGGCTTACATAATGCAGCGATTTCATTGGACGAGAGCAACTTTTGGCGACGTTTGACTACACATGGCAGCGTTTGATCGAAAACCTGGTTTCAGCCCCCCCTGTGGGTAAGGCCAGGCCGGTTTCTGGGCAAATTTCAGTTTGACGGATGACATGATATCAGCAAAGCTTACCGGCTAGACGTGTTACTAGAGGTGGTCGTTTTTCAACAGCACGTGTGTCAGCGCGCGTGACGTCATGTTCACTGCATGATCGCTCGCGTGAATTATTGACGGATGTTTCACATAGCCATGTGTATACGCGTACTGCGTGACGCGAGAGGGCTCTGGTTAGAGCAAGACGGATGTTACTCGACTAAATTTCTTCGAAGTAGTATAGCGCGCGCCGCTTTCTTCTCGAAATGTTGGCCCGCGATGGCAAGTGCTACGAAGTAGCGCGCGCTGGGTCAAATCATTAACAATGGTCAAGTGAATTACAATCTGGAGTCATAGCAACAACATTATTTTGCAAAGGTAAAAAGCTGCGATCTGTAATTTGGCTCAAAATCATACTTTTCATTACTGGGCCGCGCTCAGCCTGTCATTCCGCCGAATAAATCTTTATTCGGTTTATTATGTTAATGAACATAAATCATAATAGCCTGGGGTCCTCAGGTAAACTTTTCAGGATAATTCAAAATCTACGTTGTCCCAAATTGTGCTCCTGGGGAGCTAACTTTAGTTTTACGAGACGGACATTTTGTTGAAAACCAAAACTTTCTATCTCTTTTACTTCCGAAGTTAGGCCCCTAACGGTAAGGTTTCCTGGGCGCCGAAACAAGCGCCAAGCGCGTCACGCAGTACGCGTATACACATGGCTATGTGAACGGTGTTAGTTTAACGGGTGATACTCGTAAAATATTATATGTTATATGGACACGTTCATTGAAGTTTGAGGAAATTGGTAAATTTCTAAAACAGCGTTTTTGACGATAGTGGTTTAATTTTAACATATATTAATCTAGCGTGTTCATAAGTTCTGAACATTAGCCACGTGACCCATACTCCCATATGCACTGCTCAAAAATAAAATGTATTGCTTTTAGGCACTGTTATGTAAAAAATGTCACATTTTTGTGACATTGTTTACCATAGCTGCCCAATTAGCATTTTTTGGTCTAAAATATAGTAGATTAGGTCAATCTAACAATTATGATACAATGTAGGCCTAAAGGGCAGTGATCGAACGGCTTTAAGGCAACATTTCGTAAACTTTGTCACACTCAGAATACGAGACCTCTTTTCTACTGTGAGGTGTCCTCAAAACCCTTTCAACTCATTATTTGATAGTTCTTCTGCCAATCATAGCCCTAAAATATGTTGTTTTGAAAAGTTAACAAATACATGCACTAGAGCACCTAGAGTACAAGTACTCATGCCAAGTAACATCAGATCTGACAGAAGCAATATACAAACAAAACCCAGATTTTTATGACGATCAGGAAAAACTTGTCGAGATCAAGACCAAAATCCGAAAATCAAGGATAGAGTTTTTCAAAGAGAGAAAAGAAGAGGTTACAAAAGACCTGAATGAAACCCAAAAATTGCAATTAGATCTTACATCAGAGAAAGGGGCAAGTTCCTGGCTTTCATCACTCCCACTCAAATCATTTGGATTCTGTCTCAACAAACAAGAATTCAATGACGCCCTAGCCCTTAGGTACAACTTTGGAATAAAAGATGCTGCAAGAAAATGTGTATGTGGAAGTGACAACTCAATAAACCACTCATTGATATGCAAAAGGGGTGGGTATGTATCTCTCCGCCACAATTCATTGAGAGATGTGATAGCAGAGCTATTAGAAACTGCTGGCTGTAAAGATGTTACCACTGAACCTCTCCTCATTCCTGTCAACGGGAGAGAACTTCCTGCAGGGGCCAACAAAGCAGATGGAGCTAGATTAGATGTTAGTGCTAGGAGTGTATGGAACCCATTGGAAAGGGCATTTTTAGATGTAAGAGTATTTCATGCTCAAGCTCCTTCCAATAAGGCTCTTGGATCTCCAACCACTATGTACAATAGCCATGAGAGACAGAAAAAGAATTTATACAATAAAAGGATTGTAGAACTGAGTGGAGTTGGATTGTAGAAGTCGAACATGGGACGTTTACACCGATAGTCCTATCAACCACTGGGGGTATGGGAAGGGAAGCAAATAAGTTCTTCAAGAAGTTAGCGGATAAACTATCTAGGAAATCAGGCCAACGATATAGTGAGGCAATGACATTTATTAGGAAGAGAGTAAGATTTGACCTATTGAGAACAACAATCATAGCTCTTAGAGGAGAGAGAGGGTTTAAAAGTAGTAGTGCAGTAAAAATAGCAGAATTAGATATAAATTTGGAGCCAGTTCTTTAAACTGGCTTACTTATACTACTTAAAGGGTGTTCAAGGGTTTTCTATTGAATTTATATTGAATTTTATATAGGGTAATTGTTATATTATGTGTATATTGTTTGAATAATTTCTTTTTATTTACAAATACATGCACTTGGCTATTGGGAAATGATGTAAATTCTGTCACATTATATGGAATTTGAAATTCTGGGTGAATTTCCGAAATCATTTATATCTGATTTTGGTTTGGAAGGCGGGAAAACTCTATATGAGGACGATACACGGATACAGTTGATTGAAGTATAGAGCAGTTGATGTAAACATCGTCACAAAATGATACGAAATCGTAAATGGACACGTTCATGTTGAAGTTTAAGGATATTGGTAAACCAAAAAAAATAGCGTGTTCAGAAGTTCTGGACATTAGCCACGTGACCCATACTTCCATATACACGGCTCAGAAATACAATTTATTGTTTTTAGGCACTATAATGTAAAAAATGTCACATTTTTGTGACTGTGTTAACCATAGCTGCCCAATTAGCATTTTTTGGTCTAAAATATTATATAGTAGATTAGGTCATTCTAACAATTATGATACAACATTTGGCTAAAGGGCAGGGATCGCAGGGAAGGCAATATTTCGTAAACTTTGTCACACTCAGAATACGATACCTCTTTTCTACTGTGAGGTGTCCTCAAAACCCTTTCAACTCATTATTTGATGGTTCTTCTACCAATCATAGCCCTAAAATATTTTGTTTTGAAAAGTTAGCAAATACATGCACTTATTGGGAAATGATGTAAATTCTGTCACATTATATGGAATTTAAAATTTTGGGTGAATTGCCGAAATCATTTATATCTGATTTTGGTTTGGAAGGCGAGAAAACTGTATATAAGGACGATGCACGGATAGAGCTGATTCAAGTTAAGGGCAGTTGATGTAAAAATTGTCACAATGATAATAAGGGCAGTTGATATGAAAGAAAATCTATCTAACTAATGCAATGGCTGATGTGACGAAATTTACATTTCTTGACCCTATTTTGAAGAAACATGCCTCGATTAGAATTCAATATTCTTCCAGGATTATTAGTAGGTTATTATTCAGCAAATCAGAACTCAAGTTTAACAATTCTGAGTTTAATTTTACTAAGTTACCGAAATGTGACGAAATTCACTTTTCCTGCCCCAACAGTATAATTTCAATGTGATGAAAAATGGGCATGGGTTTCTATATTTCCTTATCTCTGAATTAATCATTTCAAACTATAATAATTAGGACTGTTGATGTGAAAGAAAGTGTATCTAAACTTTACAATGACGTATGTGACAAAATTTACATTTCTTGACCCTATTTTGAAGAACCATACCCCGATTAGAATTCAATATTCTTCCAGGAAATATTAGTAGGTTATTATTCAGCAGATCATCAGAACTCAAGTTTGACAATTCTGAGTTTAATTATACTAAGTTACCGAAATGTGACGAAATTCACTTTTCCTGCCCCAAAAGTATAATTTCAATGTGATGAAAAATGGGCATGGGTTTCTATACTTCCTTTATCTCTGAATTAATCATTTCAAACTATAATTAGGACTGTTGATGTGAAAGAAAATGTATCTAAATTTTACAATGACGTATGTGACGAAATTTACATTTCTTGACCCTATTTTGAAGAACCATACCCCGATTAGAATTCAATATTCTTCCAGGAATTATTGGTAGGTTATTTTTCAGCAAATCAGAACCCAAGTTTAACAATGCTGAGTTTGATATCACTAATTTACAGAAATGTGACGAAATTTACTTTTCCTGCCCCAACAGTATAATTTCAATGTGATGAAAAATGGGCATTACATGGGTTTCTATATTTCCTGTATAAATCCATTCCAATAATAAGGGCAGTTGATATGAAAGAAAATCTATCTAACTAATGCAATGGCTGATGTGACGAAATTTACATTTCTTGCCCCTATTTTGAAGAATCATACCTCAATTAGTATATAATGTTACTTTATCACCATCACTATGTCGATAAATTAGTTATTTTGCCAACACGGAGCAAATAAAGTTATAATTTTTTTTTGTGACGAAATTTACAAATTTTTACCCTGTTCAGGTATTGAAATTTATCCAATGTTAACATATCACTGCCATATAATAATTTATATGACCGGCGTATGGTTGAAATATTGTTAATTGACCCATAGTACGTAATATAGGGTGTTTAAGTGGGTATACTAATATTTACTCAATTTCACACATGTTGAGATATCATACAAATTTATGTGACTAAATTTACCTATTTCTGCCTTCTGTATTTGTATTTGCCTATAACAATGAAATATGTGAACAATTCCAAACACATTCAGCTCACAAAATAATGCTAGACTATTCGGCATTTCTTGTCAGGATGTCATAAACATCCCTCATATAAATTTCTTAAATGTGTGACGGAGTTTACATGGTGCTACCATTTAAGGAAAAAAGTCGCTAAATATGTAGATAATAGTCATATACAGCTATTCTATGAATTGGAAATTCGAAAATCTGGTCAAACACGGCAACAAGGGGTCCATATAAACTCCGTCACGTTTTTATAGTGTGACAAAGTTTACAACTCACTGCCGGCCGCATTTAAGCGATATCTTATCGTCTGATAAAGATATCGTTATGCGACAAAGTTTATCTAGAGGATGAAACGATTATCTTAGGGTTAGAGGGTTTATATAGTTTCATAGTGTGACACATTTTACATCATCGTGCCATTCAGTAGGGTTACTAATATTTACCAATATCCTCAAACTTCAATGAACGTGTCCATATAGCAGCCCATATACTATGGGCTGCTATATTTTTTGTATTAATCAATTTCAATCATAATAAGAAGTGTTGTTGGCCCCCTGCAGGGGCCAACAAAGCAGATGGAGCTAGGTTAGATGTTAGTGCTAGGAGCGTATGGAACCCATTGGAAAGGGCATTTTTAGATGTAAAGGTATTTCATGCTCAAGCTCCTTCCAATAAGGCTCTTGGATCTCCAATGAGTATGTACACTTACTGGCCATGAGAGACAGAAGAAAAAACATGTACAACAAAAGGATTGTCGAAGTAGAACATGGAACATTTACACCAATAGTCCTATCAACAACAGCTACAGGTGGAATGGGAAGAGAAGCAGATACTTTTTTTCTATTCAAAAAGTTAGCTGATAGAATGTCTAGATTATTATTATTAAATCTAAAATAGCTAATAATTTAATAAATTATTAACAGGCCCCTTAACGTGGGCAATAATATAGAGTGTCTAGAAAATCAGGACAAAGATACAGTGAGATCGTATTTCTGAAAGGATAGCTGACCACAATAAAGAAGCTAAGAAGTGGTAGTCTAGTTAAGATATCAGATTTAGAATTTAGATATTAATTTAGAGCCAACAAATTGAATTGGCTACTTTTACTACTACACTAAAGGGTTTTTATGAAATTTTCTAATATTTTTTATTGAATTTCTATATAGAAATTTTATATAGGGTTATTGTTATATTATGCGTATATTGTTATTTGCAAGGTTAACTGAGCTAAGAGCCAGGTTACAAATCACATCAGAACACGATTCAGGTTTGATCTGCTACGAAGCACACTCATAGCACTCAGGGGAATCAGAGGATACAAAAAGCCCAGCACCCTGGACTGGATGACGTATCCTTCAATCTCATTCCTCAGAAGACGAGCTTTGAGGTCTCTTAAGTTTGTTTATGTAAATTTAATAGATAATTTATTGTAGCTTTTATATTGTGTAAAATTTTACGGACGAAATGATCACAGGGGAGACTCCCAACCCACCGCCTCGGCGGGTAGTTAATACACCTTTCACAAGCAAGAGCCACTTTGGTCTACTTGCTGTGAGGTGTCTCAGCTACATGGGTTGGGGGTCCCCCCTTTTTTTTCTTATAAAAAAAAGATACAGTGAGGCAATGACATTTATCAGGAAAAGAATAAGATTTGACTGATTGAGAACAACTATTGTAGCTCTTAGAGGAGAAAGAGGGATAAAAAGTGGTAGCGCTGTTAAAATATCAGAACCAATGTATATAAATTTAGAGCCAACAAATTGAACTGGCTACTTCTACTACTTAAAGGGTTTTATAAAATTTACTAAAAGATTTTTTATTGAATTTCATATTGAATTTTTATATAGGGTCAATGCTATATTATGTGTATATTGTTTGAATTTTGTTTACTGTTAATAAAAATTATCGATGTGAACGAAAAATTATCAAACTTTTACAACAAATAATGTGACGAAATTAACATTGCTTGCCCTATTTCGAAGTTCATCATACCTCTATTAGTATTCAATATAACTTTATCATCATAAAAATTTCAATAAACTAGTTATCTTCCAGCAAGGAGCAAACAGAATTATAATATTTTGTTGTGACAAAATTAACCTATTTTTTACCCTGATGTAATTTTCAATAACCGTATCTGAATCCTATTTCACAACAATGTGCCCCACTTTGACTTAGCAATTGTGATTGCATCGCCAGCACACCAATACTCCCAATACTCCCAATACTCTTCTGTTATAGTTATGTCACTGATTCCATTGGGCTGAATGATTGGGTGCCTGATGGTACTGGCTTATCGTTGAATCTGAATCACCTTGTTTAGTAGTCTGTTGGAAAAATATTAGCTCATGCAATGTAGATTTGATGATATTAGCTTGGTGATAATAATGTTAGGGGAATAACAGAATGTTAACACGTGTACATCGTTCCTTTTTTAAGACACAGTAATTTATTGACACTCGTGCAGCTATAATTTTAATCATTGAATCAGTATTTTTATCTGTGCTCTGCGTAATGCATCACATGAATCAGTTTTTTAATCTATTAACTTATTACACATTTGTGCTCTGCTTTAGCATCACTTGACTATTTAAAAAATTGTTTGTTCAGGCCATGACCTTATAGTCAGCCAATTGGCCATTGCTATATTATAACAGAATGGTGTCCACCCAATGACTTAAGTGTAACGGACACAATGCAACGCACAGTGGGCACACAATGTAACGGATTATTAATTTGTGCAGTTATATCTTAATTCAATAAGTCAGAAAATTATCTTTATTTGATCATTTTTTATCTATCGTTGACAATACTTTAGTAATTACTTCTCCATTATTTAGGGGTTTGAACATGGCACAATCATCAAAAGGATGTCCAGGGACATTTCAATCTGAAATTACTCACCTTATGACACGAGCAGGTATGTCTAGATAGCAACTAAAAGTGACCAATTTTATGATTTACAGGCACTATTATATAAATCATTCACCAGCACTATGAACTTGAATGTTTTTGTATTGCTGCTCTTACAACGTAGTTTATCACTGCTATTAGTGTCATCACGTCAAGTAAGCTAAATGAGAAGATGCGTACTCAGCTGCAGGTTAAGATTTGATGTCAAAATATCGCCTTCAGGAGATCTCTTTAATCCATGTGCAGCATCTTGTGTACTGATTGAGAAAGAAATGCTGGGTGAACTTGAAGACCTGGCTCAGCGTCTTATCCAATCTGCCGGCATGAGGTCCTCAACGATCATTGAACCAGACGACTTTGGTATGTAAGTAAATTTACTTGACATATGGAATCATGATTTGGATGCCATTTTAACACAGAGTGAACAAAAATCTATTGAATTATGAATCTGTTTAATTACCATTCTGTCCAATTACCATTGAATGCCTTTAAATAAAAATATGCAAACCCATCTGGCTGGATGAACAGCTAATTTGAACCATGAGATTTTCTGAGCTGTTGTCCACAATGTGAAGCGGTGAGCCGTGAGTGCCACATATATCCATATTCCATAAGCAGTATATTTATTTGTGTTTACTGTTTAGTGACCTAGTATTTATCTGTGTTTACTGTTTAGTGACCTAGTATTTAGTGACCTAGTATTTCACATACTAAATGTAATCTTCTTTAATTTCAGCATTTCAGATGCGCCAGAATGTATCTAAGCTGTACCGTCTTAATGAGTATCTGACAAAACGCAGTTTGTTGAGAAACAAGCTGAGAAAGAAGTTTGATGAGGAGGATGTTTCCGTACATCCGGATCTGGAACTAGATATTGTTAATAAACCATGGAAACGTAGAAAGGTATGTTACTATGGAAACGTAGAAAGGTATGTTACTATGGAAACGTTGGTGTTTTCTAGCAATACTGGGTGGTTCTGCTGATCAATATTGATCCCTGTCTTATCCTAACTTGTTTGCGGGTGTTTTAGGAAATGAGAGTACTTTTGTGTTTCTCTTTTCTTTATATGGAAGTTCTTCTGTACGTTTTACCCTATTTTTAATCAAATCTACTTAATCGGAAAATATAATCTGAATTCGATAAACAGCCGTCGAATAATATAGTGGTGCATATTTTTTAAATTATGTGCATATTTTATAACATAATTATTGTGCAATCTCCATAAATCCCGCAGACACATAATATAAGCTTGAAATAGAACGAAGTTTATTTTAATAATACGTACTTTTAAAATGTACATCAGGCTATTTTAATTTTGTAATATCTGTGTAAGTTGTGTATTGTACTTATCGACAGGTAACTAAGAAGCAACACTTTAAAATACTAGAAAACACAAATGGCCCTAGTGTTTTGTTTCTCGGTTCGTATGATTCGTTATCCTGGTTGAGGATGCATAGAAGCGATCTTATGAGTGAGGTAAGAATTCTAAAATATATTCTAAAATATATTCTAGTTATGATATCATAATACATAATGCATTATAATTTATATGATATAATACGTTACCATAATATGATAATATTGTTAGATAGTTTAAAACTCTAGACAATTATAGATGTACCAATTGTCACACAGTGTGTACTACAGTGTACTACAGTACACACTTTACCTTGTTAGTTGTCATCTCCTTCTTGGGATTTTCTCTGGCATGAAAAGCATTTCCTTTTTGGGTTCAATTTCAAAGCAGTTACAATATTACTACCACCTCTATTCAGATGCTCAATCTTTGCGTAAAGTTTGCGAGACTTTGAGGAAAGCTCTATTTATGAAATCTATAAAAAGCGCTGTTGGATTGCGTGTCTGAGCACTAGAAGTCACTGTTTTACAAGCATGTTTGAGATATTATCCCTCTAAGTAGTTACTAAAGCTGATTTACACCTCTAAGTAGTTACTAAAGCTGATTTACAGGCCATGTCCGGGACAGAGTACCTGGTTACCTGGTTACCTGGTTACCTGGTTACCTGGTTACCTGGTTACCTGGTTACATCCGTTAAGTAGTTACTAAAGCTGATTTACAGGCAATGTCCGGGACAGAGTACGAGGAGTACACACACCACTACCCCCACAGCTTTCTCAAAGACTCGTGCGAGATATCTGCACATTTCAGTAAACTCATCCCTAACCCTTACTCTCTGGCTAAGGAATGCGCGCCTATTGTTGGGTACCTGGCGCATGAAATGGTGAGGACACTTTCTTAAGAAAAATATTAATTCTATTGAATTTACACACATTGCACGCCTAAGGTATCAATTTAAAACTAATACACAAGAAAGTAGTAACTTTGGTATTGGGGTTGTGTGAAAAGGGGGGGGGGGGGGGGGGGGGGGGGGGGTGGACCGGAGGCATGAGAAGTAATCCTTAATTCCCTATTCAAATTTAACACAAACAAGCTGTGATTGTTGCAGAATCTCGACCCCACCGGCCCACCATGATCACTTCCAATCTTATGATACACAGTAGTACACACGTTCATTATGATACTCAGTAGTACACACGTTCTGTAGTACACACGTTCATACACGCCACTTCTTCTGACCAGCCTGCAAATTGTCATATCTGGGGGAGGATGGGGATCAGTGAAGTGGGAGTGCTATTTATGCTGGAAATTATTGAAATGACGCTGATGTACCTTTAAATACAATCGCACTCAGATATAAATCCAATCAATAATTACGTGGTTTATAATGACAATGGTAACTAGTAGTGTTACTATGGTAACTAGTAAATGCCACCCAGTCACTTGCACCCCGTCACCCGTACGTCTTACTGATAGTAGATCAGGTATTACGTTTTGATCACAGTGATTGCACATGGTAACAGGTACAGCAGTGGGTAGAAGCAGCTACTCGCATTTACAAGGATATGAAGAAGATGCCTTGCTGCCAGTTTTGCCTCCAGCCTTCCAGTGGCACCTCATCGTCTACCTCAACTGAAAAGAGGTTTGTTTTTTAACTTTGTTATGTCGAAACAATCTTTTAATTGCTAAACAACCATTTGCATTGCGCAATCACTGAAAACCAGGTCAATTTAAACAAATGTGTTAGGGTTAAGGTAGTGGGTCATGTTTATTTTTTCAAGTAACTATAATTTCACTCTCAAAAAATTGCCAATAATTTCAGCTCTGCAAGTATCACAAAAGTCTCAGTCCTACCCTGTTTACAGCCTCTTCACTTCAACGAAGTTCTTCGGAGGTTCTACAACAGCAATACCAGACATTCTTTATTCTTGTTATGACGAAATACCAGACATTCTTTGTTCTTGTTATATGAATTATGATGAACCGACTCTCAGACGTTCCTTCCGTTCAAGTTATAACCACTGCACTGGACTCGATATATTATGTGCACGGCCACGGGTCGTGGTTCTGATAACTGTTTGAGCCTAGTTTCACCTGTAGTACCTACAACCTACTGCCTACTGTTCACACTGTGCAACACCAAAAATACCTTGTACAATGGAACAAGAGGTGGGTATTACTGGGGACACTACTGTATCACACTACTAGTTACCATAGTAACACTACTGTATCACACTACACCAGTACTTGTTATCCGGTACCAGGTAACCAGGTAACCAGGTTACCTGGTTACCAGGTGGGTATTACTTGGGACACTACTGTATCACACTACACCAGTACGTGTTATCCGGTAACTCTTCACGCGCAACTACTTACCAATCTGTGATTACTGTAGTATGTACACGTGTGAAATTAGCCTGGTATGTACATGTGTGTGACCCTTTGTAAAATGTGTACCAAATATCAGCTCCTGCCCACAAATTATATAATGTAATACTTTTCATACATTTCAGGTTTAGAGTTTGTTAACTTATCAGTATCATTAGTTTTCAGTGTGACCTAAGACCTTGTACGTCATGATCAATTATTTAAATATGCCTTTCAATTATTGGTATATTTAATATTTACGTGTAATGCTGATAAGTGATAACCTTCTCCACAGTTAGTTGTCTTTCTCAACCTTTACATTTTGTAATTAGTGTAAAACCCAGTTAGGTGTCATGTCAGAAGAAGACAAAGTGGCTCAAACTGCAGATGCTGTGACCAATGATGCTGTGACCACAGATGCTATGACTACTGATGCTGTGACCTCTGATGCTGTGACCACAGATGCTGTGACCACTGATGCTGTGACCACAGATGCTGGGACCACTGATGCTGTGACTACAGATGCTGTGACCACTGATGCTGTGACCACTGATGCTGTGACCGCTGAAGCTGTGACCGCTGAAGCTGTGGCCACTGATGCTGAGACCGCTGAAGCTGTGGCCACTGATGCTGTGACCGCTGAAGCTGAGACCACTGATGCTGTGACCACTGATGCTGTGACCATAGATCCAGAGAGTGTGACTGAGGAAGCTATGGCAAATGAGCCAGATAATTGTGCTGCTGCTACTAGCTCAACCCCACAAGTGGACAGCAGTCCTGCTCCCGATGCGTCCAAATCAGAAAAACAGGCCGAATCAAATGAACCAAGTGGTAACAAAAGGGCTGCAGAGGAACTAGAACCGGAGGAAAAGTGTAAAAAACCGAAGACTGAGAACTTGTTGGTTTTCAAAATGCTGTGTCCTTTCTGGTGCGCGGGTGCTGTAATCGGTACTAAAGGTGAACATATCAGGCAACTTAAAGAGGAAACTGGGTGTGTCATTAGGATAACTAAAAACCATGAAAACTTTCCCATGACAAGCGAACGAGTTGTTTCTATCAGAGGGGAGGAGGAGTCCATCAAGAAAGTAATCCTAGCAGTTCAAAACAAGATAAGGAACGACAGACCGCCCCCAAACGCTCCTTCCAAAGACAACTCCAAACGTAAGGGTTGTATGAAGCTGGTAGTAAGTGTGTCCTCGGCAGGTCGTATTATTGGTAAAGGAGGGGAACAGACTAAGAAGCTGCAGACACTGCACGGAGTACATGTGGATGTCATGAAGACAGCTGATCTGCCTCCAGGGTTGAAAGAGAGCGTGGTTACTATCTCCGGTGATGATAACGACAAGGTGGATAACTGCATGACTGATGTTCTGGCTTTGGTAAGCGAAGATAAGCGAGCTAATCTGAACTACAATGTTGATTATTCCTCGTTTGGTCAGAACAAGCAGCATTCCGGTCCCGTGGCTAGACAACCTAATCAGTACGGAGGATGGGGTGGTGCCCCACAATCAGCACCACAACCACACTACTACCCCCCTCAATGGGGTGGTAACTATGGTAACCATCAACCATACAATCAGAATTATAGAGATCATCACGCCAGAGGAGGCAATAGGAGATAGCTATAAGTACATTCTCTCATCAAATAAATTTCAAGTTACAACACCTTTTAAAGCAATGAAGTTATGACGTTCCTAACTGATTTAATTGACTCTCCGAGTGGTTAGATTTCAGAATCAGATTTCTTGTTAAGTAACACTTTGGTTAGATATGTTGTATTAGGTTAGATAGGATTAAACCAAAGTATGACACGTTATGATAGCAGAGCTTGACTACTGACCCTTCTTATTACTCTTGAATATGTTAATATCGGTATTATTGTATTGTATCAAGGAAATATTCTTGTTTTAGTTTTAAATAAAGGGCTCTTACAAAAGTTGTAGAGTTATCTTATCATTTTATTCTCCTTGTGGACAAGTTATGTGCAATTGTAAAGGCTGTAAAGTTACTGAGTTATCTAAATAAGATATCTTACTTTAATGTGTATCCCCGGCCAAGTTTTATATTTATAGACGAAGATTTGTCTATATTTTAAAGATAGTATTCACAAGTAGCGACAGTTCAGTTATTTCAAGTTGATATGCTTGCTAGTATTATGTTACACCATAATATATCTCGAAATTTTCATTTAATTTATTTTGTTATAATTATCTATAATTTTTGTTTCGCTGTTATTAACTTGTATTTATCACATTTTATGAAAGATTCATAAACATCGCAGTTTTCTTACATACAATTTGTTTGCTCTATTTTGCCCACAGATTATACTCTAGTTGGGTGGTCTGAAGGTGGAGATCACTGTAACAAGTGGGGGGGGGGGGGGGGGCAACGCCCTAAAAGGCCCTAGACGCATCGAAAATCCGAAAAGGGCCCTAGAAATCGGGGCATTTTGACCCTGACCACTATTTGATAGTGTTTATAATGGACCATAATCTCCAAGTAAATACACTCAAATAAACATAAAAGTACTGTGCAAGTAGTCAGATAATATCATTAAAGCACTTAGCATATATATTAAACTTGATGAAATTGAAGTTAATTCTAGGGCCCCAAAAGGCCCTACACATATTGAAAATCCAAAAAGGGCCCTAGAAATCGGGGCTTTTTGGGCCCCCCCCCCTATCTAGTGATATACAATATAATACATAGCAATATTTGATATTTACAGTACAATTAGTTTCGTTAATATCATTAAAGTATCTGGCATATATTAGACTTGATAAAACTGAAGTTAATTCTAGGGTCCTAAAAGGCCTTAGACGCATCGAAAATCTAAAAAGGGCCCTAGAAATCAGGGCTTTTTAGGGCGTTGCCCCCCCCCCCCCCCCCCCCCCCTAAGTGTGAACTAACAGAACACATAACAGATGTGGATGAAATGCCAACTTCTAAACCTGTTTACTGGTTGCCTCGCACCTTACACACTACTGCCCATCAAGAACACTACTCAATTTTCTTGGTTTACTTCTCGAATAATATCCTTAAAATTGCGCAATATTCCGGATAATCGAATTATTCCAACCCTGTTTATGTGCGATACAATTCAAAATAAATTCAATATAAATTCAACATGTTATCATTATTGGAATAACAGCGATTTATACAACCCTGTGTAATGTAGTGTAATAAATTAACCCTTTTACTTTTATAGGAGTATGTAAAGATGACAAGTGCCGGTGAGTTGTTTTATAAACAAATACATTCTTAAATTATGTAAATCGCTTTTTATTGTAATAAGAGCTTAGGTGTGACTAGTAGATTAGGTGTGACTAGTAGATTAGGTGTGACTAGTAGATTAGGTGTGACTAGTAGATCATTTGTTAATAGCTGGGTTCAAAATGAACACGTTAGTTAGAGTTACTTTTCTTATATTTATACTCGAAAGAGTTCCCATGTAAACGTACTTGGATCTTTAACATTAACACAGCACTTTATATACTCCTTACAATGATATAGACGCTGGAAATGGTAAAATAGACAACTACTACTACTATATACTAGAACTTTAATAAAAACTTTTTAAAAATTCACCTTTAAAGAAGAATTATAGAATGGACACCTTTGATAGATACCTCTAATAAGGTGCAGTCTCTCAATTTATAGTTGCAAGTTGTTCGTAATGTAGATTTAAGCCGAGTCAGTTATAAGGTGTAGTCTGTTACCCTTGAATCCTGCTGTACACATAATTCTGCACTGTACCGTTGTAGTAGTACTACTACTATACTAGTATAAATAACTACATAGTGTAACGTTACCACTGGAACTAGATAGTGGGGTGTAACGTTACCACTGGAACTACATAGTGGGGCGTAACGTTACCACTGGAACTAGATAGTGGGGCGTAACGTTACCACTGGAACTAGATAGTGGGGCGTAACGTTACCACTGGAACTAGATAGTGGGGCGTAACGTTACCACTGGAACTACATAGTGGGGCGTAACGTTACCACTGGAACTACATAGTGGGGCGTAACGTTACCACTGGAACTAGATAGTGGGGCGTAACGTTACCACTGGAACTACATAGTGGGGCGTAACGTTACCACTGGAACTACATAGTGGGGCGTAACGTTACCACTGGAACTACATAGTGTGGCGTAACGTTACCACTGGAACTACATAGTGGGGCGTAACGTTACCACTGGAACTACATAGTGGGGCGTAACGTTACCACTGGAACTAGGTAGTGGGGCGTAACGTTACCACTGGAACTACATAGTGGGGCGTAACGTTACCACTGGAACTACATAGTGGGGCGTAACGTTACCACTGGAACTAGGTAGTGGGGCGTAACGTTACCACTGGAACTACATAGTGGGGCGTAACGTTACCACTGGAACTACATAGTGGGGCGTAACGTTACCACTGGAACTAGGTAGTGGGGCGTAACGTTACCACTGGAACTACATAGTGGGGCGTAACGTTACCACTGGAACTACATAGTGTAACGTTACCACTGGAACTACATAACTCAGACTTAAGTTGTTAGCTATAAAGGAGCTATTTTAACATTCAAATGCAAGTTTAAATGGACTAATCAAGCCTTACACTGCAATATATGTACTAATATTAAGATTGAGGAGCACTACCCGGAGGCATTACAAAACGCCTAATAAAATATCCAACAGATAGATGCATTTGACTACAAATTATTTATCAAGTTTTACTTGTTTACAATTTCAGTAGTTGCCACTGTTGAATCCTCGTATTTTAAAAGCTGTTTCCTGCAATGATACCTGTTGTAAGGGGTGTAATACAGTAAATACTAGCTTTATCAGTTTCAAATATTAAGAACATGTATTGCAATTATAACTAAGTATAGTCATTTATTTATCTAAATTTTCTGAACTCTTATTAGCAGTTTATAGTTATAGGCTGTTTTACAAAAACCTTTTTCCGTACATGGTTATTATTGTCGTTTGTATTTGGTTTTAAGAATTAGTTAATAAAGAAAATAATGTGAAGCTATTAGCGTTTGTCTAGAGTTTTCTTTTTACCTCTGTTTAAGCATGAGATGACTTCGCTACGTAGTGGAGCCAAGACACGTGCGCGGTTAACGCGCAGCAATTCGCTGGAAGATTCTGTGCTTTTGCACTGCTGAAACGCTGCGCTTTCGGGTTCGGTGGTGTGCAAAGTACAGCGCGCTCACATTTCGATCAGTTGAAATTACGGGCCGATACTACATGCATGGCACGTCCATCAGATGTGATATGTTTCAGACTCTAATTACAGCTATATTTCAGGTGTAGAAAGTTACGGGCCGTCATCACAGACTCTCACATTCTTCGATGCAGAGGAACATGATTACGGAGCTGACACACAGGCCAGCGAGTTCGGAGGGTTCACTGACTTCACCCTCCCAAGCCAGACCCAGAGTCAGCCGTCTCAGTCTGATGCTACTGTAGACAAAGTCGGGCTCAAGGATGCGGTCAATGGTATCGGCACACTGGCTTTCGACGAGCGAGATGAGGATGAAACTACGATGATGAAGGTTTGTTTTGATGATCTCACTAAATTTCTGGCATAATGTCAGCTCCGCGTTCCTCTATATTCATTGCATGTGATTTGTTGGAATACAAAAGTTTTGCCGTGCTAAACAAACTGCCGTTCAGGAGTTACCACAACACGCTTGCAGCTACTGTAACATACACGATCCAGCGAGTGTCGTGCTTTGTAACACGTGCAAGAAATGGTTCTGTAACGGCCGGGGCTCCACCAGTGGATCTCATATCATCAACCATCTCGTCAGGAGCAAACACAAGGAGGTTAGTTACACAAGGGTGGGTGGGGGGGGTCAGGAGCAAACACAAGGAGGTTAGATACACAAGGGTGGGTGGGGGGGGGGGGGGGGTCAGGAGCAAACACAAGGAGGTTAGTTACACAAGGGTGGGGGGGGGGGGGTTGGAGCAAACATACTACACCCCCGGCCCCCTTAACAAACATAACCTGAAACTGGGTCCTATCCCAGGTAACCCTCCACATGGACGGACCCCTTGGTGAGACCATCTTGGAGTGCTACAACTGTGGGTGTAGGAACGTGTTCTTGCTCGGGTTTATCCCAGCTAAAGCTGACAGTGTTGTAGTTCTGCTGTGCCGACAGCCCTGCGCCGCTCAGACCTCTCTGAAGGACATGAACTGGGACCAGAGTCAGTGGCAGCCTCTTATCAACGACAGATCCTTCCTTCCTTGGCTCGTCAAGATACCTACTGAGCAGGTTAGTGTAACCTTTTAGTAAAAATACACTGTGAGATTTATTATGAATATTGTTTACTCCACTGAAACCTAAAATCTAATTGTCAACTTTAGATTTATCAACATTAATCAAATCTAATTATCCGTATATCAGGAGCAACTGAGGGTTCGTCAGATAACTGCTGCACAGATCAACAAGTTGGAGGAAATGTGGAAAGAGGATCCAGGAAAGACAGTTGAGGACCTTGATAAACCTGGGATTGATGAAGACCCTCAGGCTGTCATGCTCAGATATGAGGATGCTTACCAGGTGTGAAAATAAATAAATTATGCCACTTCAGCGAAATTTCACTCAAACCACATTTAATAGGTGTACTTGCTATTTTTCTAAATTTAGTAAAATGTTTTTCAGTACCAGAACGTGTTCGCCCCTCTGGTTAAGATGGAAGCTGACTACGACCGGAAGCTGAAGGAGTCTCAGAGTCAGGATAACATTGTGATCCGGTGGGACAGAGGTCTCAACAAGAGGTGGATAGCTTACTTCTCCCTTCCTAAACAAGACGGCGAAATGAGAATCATGCAAGGAGACGAGCTTAGACTACGATACTGCGGTAATTAAGTAATTAGGGTAATTAAGTAATTAAAGCAAGGAGACGAGCTTAGACTCAGATACTGCGGTAAGTTTTGTTATTTCTGGTTTTAAGTTTAGTCATTGTTAGTATTGAGATGGAAGTGTAAGATAGAACTGAAAATGGACAGATATAGTAGTTGAAATCTCTGTTTGTTCAGGTGACCTCAGGAAGCCATGGACTGACGAAGGTCACGTGATCAAGATTCCAAACTCTTTTGGTGAAGAAGTTGGTTTGGAGTTGAAGGGGATGACTGACGTGCCGACTGAATGTACTCGGAACTTCAGCGTTGATTTTGTTTGGAAACCAACTAGCTTTGACAGGATGCTAACTTCTCTCAAGGTATGTTATTGTCTATTAGGATACATTTATGACAACTGGGTTCTTCAGTTCCTGTGATACTACATATTATACACATATTGTACACATATTATACACAATACACATATTATACACATATTATACACATATTAAACACATATAATACACATATTATACACATATTATACACATATTATACACATATTATACACATATTATACACATATTATAGGCACAAGGAAATTTCGTAATATAATGCAATGCATTTTCAGACGTTTGCGGTGGACGAGACAAGTGTGAGTGGGTTCCTGTACCACCGACTTCTAGGACACGAAATAGAGAGCGAGCAGAGTATAAAGAGCACTAATCCTAAGAGGTACACAGTGCCCGGACTGCCCGAACTTAACCACTCTCAAGTGTACGCTGTCAGACAAGTCCTCCCAAAACCTCTCTCTCTGATCCAGGGTCCTCCTGGAACAGGTACTGTTGTTATGGAAATTGAAAACAATTCGTAGATATTTGTTTTGTAAACTTGGAAGACATAGTTGTCGTTTCGAAAATTCCCAAAAAACATCTCTTTATACTGTAAACTTCTTTTATTTTGGTGATTTAAGTTTTTAGTTGATGGTAACAATAACAATATGTGAATATGTGTCCTCCCCGCAGGTAAGACGGTAACGTCAGCAACTATAGTGTACCACCTGTGTAGAGGAGACCGGGAGAGGGGCGGCAGAGTACTGATGTGCGCTCCTTCCAACACGGCTGTAGATCAGCTCACAGAGAAAGTGCACAGAACGGGTCTCAAGGTGGTGAGACTTTGTGCTAAGAGCAGGGAGGCTATCGACTCTCCTGTTGCCTTCCTCTCTCTTCACAGACAGGTTAGTGTACACTGTCTTGTTGTATTTGTTTATTACATTTATTCGGAGTGCTATAAACTTAACCTTCTCTGTTTTAGCTAGTTTATGGCCGGAGCGGGGAGTTCCTCACTGCTGAGTGCTGCTTTATGGCTGATTCTACAGGCCAGTTCGTTGTTGTGTCATCTTCTCCGTCCTACAGCATTCCTAACATTTCGTCCCAGCAAGCCGTTCTAGTGGTAGGAAATGTACCCCGCCCTCCGAACCAGGTAGTGGTAGGAAATGTACCCCGCCCTTCTAACCACTTCCTCTCACAATCCGGTTACACTTCTGGTATTTTATCTAGTGGCAATGCAACTAAAACAGTTAGTAAATCAAACTTCCTTGCGGAACAATTTACAGAAGAAAACACTGGAAATACTTCCTCGGTTTGGAAGAAGACCAAATCAGAAGGCTCCAGAAAGCGGCACCGTAAACTCGGTGTTGACCACAGTAAGCTCCAGTGCTCGGAGTGTAGCGAAGTGAGCTCCTCCCTAACGGACCTGTCCCAGCATCTTGCCACCAAGCACAGTAACTCCATCAGATCCTGCAAATGTCTTTACTGTGCTCAGATATTCCTATCTCAAAACTCAGCTGTACATCACATAAAGTCCGTTCTGTTGGCTAAGAAACCCTCCCCTGTGCACGTGGCAGGAATGATAGCTTGTATACAACACACGTGTCCAGTCTGCGCCCACGTGCACGTTTCAGCGCAACATCTTAAAGTACACCTTCTTAAGTCTCAGTGCGGAGAAGCTGAAATTAGGCAATCTGAAGAGGTTCAAGTTAAGAATACGAAATTAGCCTGCATGAAGGCAGTATTGCAATCCTACAAACCTACTAAAATATCAGTGCAAGAGAGTGGTGGGGAAGCTAATTCTCCAAGAGGTGCCAGCAGTCTCAACACTCCAACAAACTTAGCTACTACTCAGACTAACACCCCCCTGCCTATAGACCTGCAGATACCTGCTAGGTCACGTGTTGGTTGTCCTGGTGATGCACGTGTTCCACCACCTCCCCACTGTAAAGGGAGTGGCCCGCCTCCCCACTTCTACCCCCAACCCCCCACTTACATCAGACCTCCCCTCGTTATGTCTCTCCCTCCCACTCAGTACTACAATCTGGATTGTTATCAGTATCCTTCAAACAACATGACGCACATTGCACCTAACCAGTACACTTATCAGCCTCGTGTTGGTTGTCCTGGTGATGCACCCCTTCTCAATAAAGAGCTCTTCTCCTGCTTGCACTGTGGTTCTAAGTTCGCAGAGTTTGACCTTCTCACCAGACACTTCCGTGACAACACGTGCAACAGCGCCGCGCACAGTAGTCTTCAGGGCATTGTTAATTGCTGCACAAACACGCCTTACTAGCTCCACATTGTTTCAGTTTATTCAGTATTTGAGCAATGAACACCCACCATTGTTTTAATAAGAGTTAATTTGGGAGGGGGCAACCCCTCATTTGTATTTGATGCATGCTTACTATTGTAGTTTTGATTGTTTTAGATAATTTATAACCATTTTTTGCTAGACCCATAATGTCACAATGTATGTCAGATCGATTGTTTTTAAGAATTTGTCTTTGTGAGGATTGTCTATAATATTATGTTTATTAGTTGTTTTATCCCTATGATTTGATACCAAACTGGTAATTGAGAGGGGGTGTGATTTCGTTGCTTTACCAAATCGCAAAACTAAAACTACATTTACAATACACAAACTGGATCGGACCCATTGTAAATCTCACAAATATATTGTGTTTTTTTAAGTGTGATGATTGTGTTATGTGATAAATCACATCGTTTAAAGTTTTTTTCAAAGTTATCATTAAGTTATCGCATATTTATATATTCGCCAATTATAATTAGTTTTCGCCAAATATAATTAGTTTTACCGAGTTGTTGCACAATTTATCTTGTTTGCTTTGTACTAAATCTCTATTCAACCTCTGCTCTCGACTATTATAAACTTTATAATTTCACTTTAAAGCATTTGCTTGTGTACGTGAAAAACCCTCCCCCAAATTGAAACCATGCATCACGGATGCTCACCGTGTCACGTGGTGCTCACCGTGTCACGTGATGCTCACCGTGTCACGTGCTTACCGTGTCACGTGCTCACCGTGTCACGTGTCCCAGGTGAAAGCTCTGGAAGGTTACGGCGAGTTGGAGAAGCTGCAGACTCTGAAGGAAGACCAGGGTGAACTGTCCAGTGCTGATGAGAAAAGATACCGGACACTCCGTAAACAGGCCGAGAGAGAACTACTCCAGGTGAGTTTAATTACTTCAACCTCTTACCACGTCACTATACCCACAATGAGGACATGGGAGTTAAATTTCACGCCAGGACTTTCTAGGTCTTGTGATTTCCTTTCCTCAATTCTCCCGACCCTGACCAGTGTAGTGTAGCCCCTGGCCCTCCTGACTCTGACTAGTGCAGTGTACCCCCCCCCCCCCCCCCCTTAGTGTAGTGTACCCCCCCGGCCCCCCCCCCCCCCCCCCCAGTGTAGTGTAGCCCCCTCCCCCGCCCCCAGTGAGCACATTAACACCCTCTCCTCCTCAGAACGCGGATGTAATCTGTTGCACGTGTGTGGGTGCCGGAGATCCGAGACTCTCCAAACTCCGGTTCCGGACTATCCTGATAGACGAGAGCACCCAGGCTACCGAGCCGGAGTGTATGGTTCCTATTGTACTGGGAGCTAAACAGGTACAGATACTGACATACTGGCATAGTTACCTAGGTAACAGATACTGACATAGTTACCTAGGTAACAGATACTGACATAGTTACCTAGGTAACAGATACTGACATACTGGCATAGATACCTAGGCCTAGGTAACAGATACTGACATAGTTACGTATGTAACATACTGTCATGACTTAGTTTAAACCTTCTTGTTACTTGCATACCTCAAATTGTTTGATTTGCTTTAGAAAAGCTTCACAAAATAGGTTTCCAGGCTTTAGTGACAAATAACAGTGTTTACTAAGAGTTAAACCCTGCTGTTATCTGTTACCTAGGTAACAACCCTGCTGTTACCAGGTGATATTGTTACCTAGGTAACATGTTTTACTAAGAGTTAAACCCTGCTGTTACCAGGTGATATTGGTTGGTGATCACTGTCAGCTAGGCCCAGTTGTTATGTGCAAGAAAGCAGCTAGGGCTGGTCTCGCCCAGTCCCTCTTTGAACGACTCATTATTCTGGGTATACGGCCTATCCGTCTGCAGGTTTGTTAGTGGTCAATTGTACATACCGTGTTGAGATTAAAAGACATTTCCCCAATTACTCCAGTAGCAGTATTCCCTGCTACTAGAGTTAATTGAAAAACTAAGAAATATGGTTGAGACTAGATATTTGAAAGACTGTACATATGTAAAGGTAAGGCGCTGTTAAAACTAACAAGTCTGAGTAACCCCTCCCTCCCTCAGGTCCAGTACAGAATGCACCCCTCTCTGTCCCAATTTCCCAGTGATATTTTCTACGACGGTACTCTACAGAACGGAGTAACGAACGCTGAGCGCGGCCCCAGCAACATCGACTTCCCTTGGCCCATTCCGGATAAGCCCATGTTCTTCTGGGTTACTACCGGTAAAATACTCATGACCCCCCCCCCCCCCTAGTTAAATAGTTTGACAAATAAGACTAACTTCAGGATTCAAACAATCGATCATCAATAATGTCGGTGTAATTAAATTGTAGCTACTGTCCCTTTGTCTCCATATTCTGCTACGCCGCGTGCCTAACACATGTACCCAAAAGCCATCCAGTGAACGTCAAATAACTTACCAAAAGTAGTACTAAAGGGTATAACTTTGCCTACTCGGCCGTGGAAGCCGTAGATGTAAACTTGGAAGGAGTTTTTGCTGAGATTAACCACAGAGGATTGTCCAGTAACAAGTGCTGCCATCCAGCTCCATTTGTGATCGTTCAGTTCGTTAGTTCCATGAAGACTAGTAGTTACTACAGGAGACACCCTGATATATCCACAGTAGTCATTATCATTGGTTGTGTATTGTATACTAATATAAGGTGTGATCTAAATTTAAATTTGAAAATGTTCAGGTCAAGAAGAGATATCGTCGTCTGGAACCTCCTACCTGAACCGAACTGAAGCAGCAAACGTGGAGAAGATAGTGACGAGACTAATGAAGTGCGGAGTGAAGCCCGATCAGATCGGTGTGATAACCCCCTACGAGGGACAGAGAGCCTACGTGGTCCAGTACATGCAGTACCATGGCAGCATGCACGCTAATCTTTATCAGGTCAGTACCATGGCAGCATGCACGCTAATCTTTATCAGGTCAGTACCACGGCAGCATGCACGCTAATCTTTATCAGGTCATTAGCTGGGAGATATTAGATTTAGAAACCCTCTATATTCCAGATATCAGCAACAATTCACGTTATGAAACTTGTTTAAAATTATGTTTAATTTCAGGAACTGGAGGTAGCAAGTGTGGACGCGTTCCAGGGTCGTGAGAAAGATTTCATCATTCTGAGTTGTGTCCGAGCGAACGAGCATCAAGGTATTGGTTTCCTGAACGATCCTCGTCGTTTGAACGTGGCGTTGACTCGTGCTAAGCATGGCGTCATCATCATTGGTAACCCCAAGGTTCTAGCAAAGCAAGCTCTGTGGCACCGACTTCTGGGTCACTTCAAAGATGCTGATCTGCTAGTAGAGGGCCCTCTCAACAACCTTAAGAGCTGTTTAATGAGTTTCAGCAAGCCTAAGAAACCTCTGATAAACAAGGAAAACCCCGGGGCTAGTTTCATGAGAACAGCAATGTACGACGCTAGAGAGGTTAGAGCATCCTCATTATACAATATACATCTTTCTTAATTAAATCAGAATGATAATCCTTACATATTACATATTAAAAAATGTTTAAAGGTCTATCTCAGCGCTTAATGTGTAATTGTATTGCTCGCGCAAAGTTAAACTCGATTTGAATACTTGTTGATCACAGCAACATGTCCCAGGTGTTCATGTCCAGTGCCACGTACGAACGCATGCCGGGCGCGGCGCCCGGTATCGACATGTACAGGGACGACTACTACAAGCCGCACGATCAGATGGGCTATATTAACAGTGCTCCGAACCCGTCTCTACCCACTAACGTACCCATACCAGTGGGTATGTTCATGGCAGCACCGCCTCCACCTCATAGGAACTACTACCCGGGAACTAACAGGAGGAACAAGAACACCACTTTCAACAGTGAAATGAATCAGGTCAGTTTGAACATCTAATTTGAACATCTAATTTGTGCTGCTAGTTCCAAGATGTTTCCCAGAGTTTCTGAGAAAGTTTATTAGCTAAGTAACTGGTTATGTAACTTGTTAAATATGACAGGTGTACAGTGGCTACGGAGGGTACACAGGCTCCGCCCCCCTGACACAGCCGTTGATGTCTCAACAGAGCATGTCTCAACCTCTTTCTCAACTGGAGCTATCTCAGGACACGTCAGTTACCTTTAGTTTCACATTCCTTTGCGGGAGAAGTTTCTAGACTATTGTTTGAAGCGAGTCGTAATAGTGTTTGATCAATTTAGTAAATGCAAGTTTTTTATTTTAGTTAGAATTTGTAATGTGTCGTTATCTAATGAAGGTATGTTTTCTAATGAAGGTATGTTTTCTAATGAAGGTATGTTTTCTAATGAAGGTATGTTTTCTAATGAAGGTATGTTATCTAATGAAGGTATGTTTTCTAATGAAGGTATGTTTTCTAATGAAGGTATGTTTTCTAATGAAGGTATGTTTCCAGGTATGTGCTGGAGGAGTTCAAGTCCCAGCCGGGAGATGGGTTGCTGTCTCAGGACTCCACATTTCAAGCTGACAGACCTGGTTTCGTTTAGCGCGAGAAGTGAGACTTATGCAAACTAGCATACGCAACGATCACCCCTGATACTTCTTTTTCAAGAGACAATCCCCGACACATTGTCGCTACCACGGGTGCCTCCTCGCCTTGTGCGAGATGCGCGCAGCGTGTGACGTTGTCGTGACGACACGTGCTCGCGCACACCCCTTGCGCACGTGTGTTTCCATGGGAACGCACGTGGGTGTCACGTGACTCCAACAACATGTCACGTGACGATGAAAGAAGTCGATTCACTGAAGAGCGATGAAATATCCCAAGATGAAAAGAAGATCAGTGATTTATTGCGATGTGAAGAAAGCAGAATTATTCTCTCCGAGTCTCTTTTGAAGTCGTCTTTTGGAGTTGGTCCTCGGGCGGTGGTTTTTAAAACAAAACTTTTTTCCTCCGAAAAGTTTGGTGTTTGATGGTTCTAGCATATTTAATAATGCGGGTATAAATATACATCGTGCTGGGTTTCGATGTCATTTTAAGAAAAAAACACCATTCTTTTCACTGTAGCAAAAACTGTAGATTTGATCACAGAGACAGAAATGTAATTTATTAACGCCTAGTGCCTGTGTACTAGCCTATACTATAGGCTGTAGGGTAAAACACGCTAGAACATTTTACTTTATTGTGGAGATAATGAAATAATCACGGTCTTGTCCCACGCCGTAAAGAGTTAATGTCTTAATGCATGATTAGCTTTGAAATTGTTTTACCACATTGTTGTACTACTACTACGACCGCTCAAGCGACAAGTTTTCAACATTGTCCTGGGTCCAACTCATGAGATCGATTATTTTTTGAAGAACATTGTTTTATTTGTTTAGAAGATTAGTGCCTTGCCAGGCTGTTAAGTGACGCCTGTTAACTGTTTACTGGATGGTAACTGAGCACGTGTTGTCTATCCGACCACACTAGTTTGTTTCTAAGTGCATTGTTTGCCTGGACACCTTTCCAACATGTTCCAGTCACGCGCCCCCGACCTGCCACCCACTTATTTAACTATAACAATAGCCCTAACTCACAACTGGGCCAGCTCAATGAGTACTCAGTCTTTGAAAGCAGCTGGCAATTAAAGAAAAGCGATATTTTAGCACATTGTCCATGCAGGCGGCAGATGTGCGACCTTTTCAACCTGCTAACTCTTGTTGGCTGTTATGATTTCTAATCATTTTTAGAGGGTACCAGAAGTGCTAATTGAGGAGCGGTGATTGGTGAAATGGTTTCTGTCTGACTGTGAGAGCACTACAGTTCCACCTGTGCCCAACTCCGCAGATCAGCGACGGTCACGTGACACGGCAATGCATGGTAGTGTAACCATAGTAACACGTGACACGGCAATGCTCACTATTTAAACCGGACTCCCTGTAACAGGTCTTCTAGAATTTATGGTATTTTTTAGCGTGGTTTTGATTGCGTTTGTTTGGGCTTTGGTTGCACTAATTTTAATATGCGATGATATAACCGTGTGTCAACATTTCCCGAACTGTTTCTAATTCTTTTTTCCGACACAATTGAATAATTTAGTTCACCATATTTGAAGTCGTCGTGCTCAACACTCAGACCCGGGGTCACGATAAAATGAATTCCGGCACTTCCTCATCCTGCGAATCTTCCTAAATTGCTACTAGTGCTAGTACTTACTTTCACTTTCAGGATACTCAATACTCAAGCTTTTTCTTACTTTCAGAATGAACATAGAAGACTTGTTATCCCTCAAGACCCCTACTCCCTCGTTTAGACCCCCTCCGCCAAGTCGCCATACAACAAGCTCTACTGATAGTTCTACAAGTTCAGAGAACGGGGAAACGAGTACGCTGTGTTTTGGGAGTTCTCCCAGGAAGAAGCTTTGTTTAACTTCTAATGCTGGCCGTGAGCCAAATCCTTCATTTCTCTGCTCATCCAGCATTGCTAAGGTAAACGTCTCGACGAACCTATTTCTGGACAGATCCAAATAGTTATTGCTTCCTCGATGTCGAGTTCTTGTCGAAACGATTTATATTTTTGAACGGTTTTGCTGCGTCTTGCTTGATACTAGGAAATATATTACTGGGAAATGATAATCGCCACAACTATATTTGTAAATACTTCCGTCCGAAACATAACAAAAATTTCGCGGAATAATTATAATTATGAACTGATCTAGTTCTACTAGTACTTGAGCTTCAAGTAGAAGCTCCTGTCTGCTGTCAGTTGCAATTCTGAATTTGTGTGTGGTCGTTTTGCTATACTAAACGCTTTGAACTGAAAGTGGCAATACTTCAGATGTTTTGCTATACTAAACGCTTTGAACTGAAAGTGGCAATACTTCAGATGTTTTGCTATACTAAACGCTTTGAACTAAAAGTGGCAATACTTCAGATGTTTTGCTATACTAAACGCTTTGAACTGAAAGTGGCAATACTTCAGATGTTTTGCTATAGTAAACGCTTTGAACTGAAAAGTGGCAATACTTCAGATGTTTTACTATACTAAACGCTTTGAACTGAAAAGTGGCAATACTTCAGATGTTTTGCTATACTAAACGCTTTGAACTGAAAAGTGGCAATACTTTAGATGTTTTGCTATACTAAACGCTTTGAACTTAAAAGTGGCAATACTTCAGATGTTTTGCTATACTAAACGCTTTGAACTAAAAGTGGCAATACTTCAGATGTTTTGCTATACTAAACGCTTTGAACTGAAAGTGGCAATACTTCAGATGTTTTGCTATACTAAACGCTTTGAACTGAAAGTGGCAATACTTCAGATGTTTTGCTATACTAAACGCTTTGAACTGAAAAGTGGCAATACTTCAGATGTTTTGCTATACTATTACTAAACGCTTTGAACTAAAAGTGGCAATACTTCAGATGTTTTGCTATACTCCCCTATACTATTACTAAACGCTTTGATCTAAAAAGTGGCAATACTTCAGATGTTTTGCTATACTAAACGCTTTGAACTAAAAGTGGCAATACTTCAGATGTTTTGCTATACTAAACGCTTTGAACTAAAAATGGCAATACTTCAGATGTTTGCCTATACTATTACTAAACGCTTTGATCTGAAAAGTGGCAATACTTCAGATGTTTGCATGTAGCTCCTGCGGAGTGATGTTCCAGTCTCGGAGCGAACTTTACTCCCACTTCCGAGATATCCACAAACACAAGTTGTTCTCCTGCTCCTACTGCAGCAAACTCTTCACTCGCAGCAGGTACCTCACAGTGCTGGCAAACTTGGGAGCCGGTAATGTCTAACTACTAGTCAGACTTTTCTTACTTATAAGTTAACTAACTAACTCACTCTATAACTCCACAATTTCAGCTCTTTAAAGACACATACTCGGGTACACACAGGTGAGCGACCCTATCAATGCACGGAGTGTGGCAAAACTTTTACCCAGGTAAGTTACTTTGGACACTGTACAGCTAAGTTCTTTTTACCTTATCGGACGTTATTTGACCGGACATTGCGTGGACGGACATAATATTGAACGGACATTAAAATTAACTATCTTGTCGTATTTTATTTTATTGGACATAAACAATGAAAATGAACGTTAGGGCCTCCACACTCCAGCGTCCAAATAAAGTCCGAAATGGTATTAGTATTACTTTATTACTCTGGATACATGTATACAGAGTATGTATACTATTACTTCTAGTTAAACTTGCAGGTCGTTTTTCTTTAGAATTTAAAATAGTGTTATTAATTTCAGTTGAGCAATGTTTTACAACACAACAGAGATGTGCACATAAAAGATAAGAGGTTTAAATGCAAGCTGTGTGAGAAAGGTTTCAGCAGACTCGAAACATTGCAGTGTCACATTCGAGTACATACAGGTAAATAACGGGGTGGGGTATTTCTAACCCTAACCCTAACCCTAACCTTGTCGGGGGGTCAATTGTCGTACTAAGCCCTAGATTTCGCGACAATTGACCCCAGTGTAATTACATAGGGGGTCAATTTTCGCGGTACGAGTTCACACAGGTATATAAGTATAACCCTCGTCATCCTAGATATCCTTCATTCGGCACGCACTGTCATTAGTGGGTTGTGGGCCCACTCCAGTCTATGAAAAACTGGCTAGGGTTACTGTTAGGGTGTAACGGGCGTTATTTGAAGTGGGATAGATCGACATGAACTCGCTATTTGGCGCTCGTTTGTGGGTTCTAAGTTAGTTAGTAACGGGTGATACTCGTAAAATATCTGTTCCACTTCCATATATTAGGACCGTCGACGAGTCCAACTCGGCGCGCGTCCTGGTAGGTTGTAAACCTACAATATAACTATTAATCTATTAACTTAACTCTGCTGCAGGCGAACGCATTTACAAGTGTGAAGTATATCTATTAACTTAACTCTTGACTCTGCTGCAGGAGAACGCATTTACAAGTGTGAAGTTTGTCAGAAGTCTTTCTCTCAGCGAGCTAACCTGAAAGTCCACACTCGCATTCACCGCGGTGAGCGCACTAGACCTAAACGAGCGAGGACCACCCCATCCATTCCACAAACTCATCCTCCTAAAGTTATAAACCCTGTTATTGTAGTTCCGTCTACCCATCACAGAACTGTGCTCCCTACTCAACTATGTTTTAATGGCGCTTTTATTGTGGCAGGACGGACATTCAATAACAATTTAGCTTTTACTCGTGAGTCAGACTCCGGATTGGACTTTTTATTGCCAACTGTCGCATTGAAGTTATTGTTTGATGTGATAGTGTCTTTACATTTTGCTTAATTTTATAAATTATTAATGTTTGTTTGAAAGTGAATGGCGGATGCCTGTTTTCAGTTTATTCATTTTCAATTGATATCAATAAATGTTAATATTTATGTTTTAATTTTCAATTTGGTAAATTTTGCTTTTATTGTTATCGTTTATATTTCAAATCCAAAATCATCTGTAGATTTTATCATCCGAATTTGATTACTGAACGGTCCGGGCCTCAAGTCCACTAAAAGTAAACATTGATTGACCTTACCTGGGGACCCCAGGCTATTCTGTTCATAAAAATAATAAACCGAATAGAGATTCGGCGGAATGACAGGCTGAGCGTGAGAGCGTCGCCCAGTAATGATTGACAGCACCAATCCTGAACCCTTCAGGTCGTTGTCCATTGTCGACTGACTGACCCGGCCGGCGCACGCTACGTCATACGTACTACGCAGTAGTCAGTAGTGCAGTACTTTGCCTCGGGCCAAGTTGTATCACGTCGTGACCTACATGTGACATGGTTGTTTCAATAATGAATAAGTGTAGCATCTCTACGATACAGGGGAGCTGCGCGGCGGGTCATACAACGTATATATATGGGTAAACTAGACCTGCATAAGCCAGGGGAACGGCCCATAGCAGGGTAACCAGGATGGCCCGGTACCCAAAAACCCGATTAACTAGCAAAGATAAAAAATAACAATAGGTAATAAATAGATACCAATACTATACCGATATAAGATGCATAGTTCAGAAGGATCAAACCGGGATGTTCCTTCTGTTAGTCTTTTGTAGGAGTCCATGGCTGTCGTATTCTTGTCTTTATTTCTTTCCTTCTCCGTGATGTATTAGTCTTGCTGTAACGAGGAGTTAAAGAAATGTCTGGTATGGAATACTATGGTCCTGGGAGGTATCATGTTAAAGATATGGAGGGCTGGGGAAGTCACTGAATCATGTCAATGAGAAATAAAAGGAAACTGAGTAGTAGGTAACGTGGTTGTCCCTTCCACAATCAGCAAAGATGAAAAAGAGGGGTGAGGGGGAGAGAGAGAGACAGGCATTAAGTCAAGCTACGAGAGCCGTCCAGTGGACTATTGAGCCCTTAGAACTGGCTGGGTAGCAGGACCTGCTGCAAGTCTGAACACGAACTGGGGAGGGGAGGGTGATTGTGGTAGAGGGACAATTACGTCAGCTAAGGCTAAGAGAAAGAGACTAAGGGGGTTCATAGAAATCTAGATACTTGGTAGCTCTAGCGAACCCCACTATGTTACTGATAGAGAAGGTTTGATGGAAGGTGTCCTCTCTGATGGTATAGTTACCAAGGTAGTATTTCCTGTGTAACAGTGATTTCTCTCCGTGGAGACAGAGGTGCGAGAAAAAACATTGTTAATATAAACAGTCTAGATCTTAACTTGGAGCCACAAGGCCAAGGGTAAAAAATTTTTGAGTGTTTAGGGAATTTTTTATATTCTTAAAGGTTTGTTTTTATATATACTAGAGTAGCAGAGAGGAGTTGAGTGTGCACTTCAATGTACACAATTTTTGACCACGCAGGGTCTTTCATTAGGTCATTCCAAACCAAAATCATCTAGGTACCCATTTTGTATCGGTAGTCCCAGTCCTACAGGGCGAAATTTCTAAATTGCCCTCAGGCGCAAATTTGGGATTTTTGTATCTCGGCTTCTAAAAGACTTAGAGACTTGAATATTGGCTTAAAATAACCGCAATACCCTTATTTATATACAAGTTATGAAGCAATATAAGGTCTCAAGTGCCTAGTTTTAAAGATATTCACGAAAAACTGTTTTTTGGCTCATCGCAGCTGGAATTACCGGATTATTTTTACATCTGGAGCTAGAAAGGTCGTAGAAACTTCTCCGATATTGGAAAGTATTCGCAATGAGCACATTTATATAAGACTTATGAATCATTGTATGCTCTAAAATGCTTATTTGTAGAGATATTAGCAAAAATCGGTAATTTTGGCTTCACCAATACAAATTTGGTAATTCGTTTTGTCTTTTTGTTGCAAATTTTCACGTTGCAATTTTCAAGATGCGGTTTGTGGCTATCGATGGGGCTTTATATATGCTATTGTATGGTTTTGATACAATCCTTCAGCACCTAGGACATAGGCAATAGGGGTCTCAAACCCTGAAATGTCAGGAACTGGGCAGTGGCCGAGATAAATATTTGATAATTACTTGGACTCTTGACTCACATTCATCTTTTCAACGGTTAGTTAGACATCTTAAACCAGTATTGAACGTTGAGTGAAACTTCTGATCCATTTGTAGCTCAGGTGATGTGCCCCAGAACAACACACCTGAGTGACAGTGGGCCTTATCGATCATGAGCCGCAAATCACAGTGACTTTGGGCCTCAGAGACAAGGGCATTCGTACTCTTGGCTTAAATTGGCTCTTCGTTAGTATCATCAATCAGGTTTCTAACCTCTAAATCATCTGCCTGTTCATTGTCCATCCGTCTCTTTGAGATTCATTATTACTTCAAGTTTAGTCATTTCGTTTCTGTTCAACTGTAGGCGTAATGAGGGACTTCAGTCCAGCAATAAAGTCAATATCTCTAGATTTAGCAATATTTCGTTGGTTTCGCTACTTTTAAGGTAATTATGTTCAGCAAGCAAGGTTGTAAGTTTTCAGCCCTACTGCCCCGAAATATTGCCCCCCCCCCCCCAGATCACTAGTAATGCTGGAGCACAGGTAATGCACATGGTAATGCTGATTTTTTGCTTAACATAGCTCATTTTAAAGTTCCTTTATCAGCAGTCTTCCCTATCATACTGGCATATAAACAGATTCACCTCCTTTATCTCTAGATATAATCTTGAACCTGGGCTCTACAGGTTATCGAATGTCCACCAACCTCTTTCCCCAATTATTGTCAGCCCCAGGACCTCTATCACCTGCAACTTTGGGTCTTAGAACTTCGGGCCCAAAGATACCTGTCCCTCAGTGACTCTGTGCCCCACATAATTCTAATTTATGACTCAATGTAAATTGTAAATGCTGAGATGGACATAAGATAACCCGTATCTATCGCTAAATTATTTACTATTATTATTGTATTGCTGTGTAAATTTAATTCTAATTCTAATTATAATTCTGTAGAGCCCAGGTTCAAGATTATATTTAGAGATAAAGGAGGTGAATCTGTTTATATGCCAGTATGATATGGAAGACTGCTGAAAAAGGAACTTAAAAATGAGATATGCTAAGCAAAAAATCAGCATTACCATGTGCATTACTAGTGCAGAGTGCTCAAGCATTACTAGTGTTCTGGGGGGGGGGGGGGAGGGGAGATTATATTTAGAGATAAAGGAGGTGAATCTGTTTATATGCCTGTATGATATGGAAGACTGCTGAAAAAGGAACTTAAAAATGAGATATGCTAAGCAAAAAATCAGCATTACCATGTGCATTACTAGTGCAGAGTGCTCAAGCATTACTAGTGTTCTGGGGGGGGGGGGGGGGGGGAGGGGAATTATAATTAGAATTAGAATTAAATTTACACAGCAATACAATAATAATAGTAAATAATTTAGCGATAGATACGGGTTATCTTATGTCCATCTCAGCATTTACAATTTACATTGAGTCATAAATTAGAATTATGTGGGGCACAGAGTCACTGAGGGACAGGTATCTTTGGGCCCGAAGTTCTAAGACCCAAAGTTGCAGGTGATAGAGGTCCTGGGGCTGACAATAATTGGGGAAAGAGGTTGGTGGACATTCGATAACCTGTAGAGCCCAGGTTCAAGATTATATCTAGAGATAAAGGAGGTGAATCTGTTTATATGCCAGTATGATAGGGAAGACTGCTGATAAAGGAACTTTAAAATGAGCTATGTTAAGCAAAAAATCAGCATTACCATGTGCATTACCTGTGCTCCAGCATTACTAGTGATCTGGGGGGGGGGGGGGGGGGGGGGGCAATATTTCGGGGCAGTAGGGCTGAAAACTTACAACCTTGCTTGCTGAACATAATTACCTTAAAAGTAGCGAAACCAACGAAATATTGCTAAATCTAGAGATATTGACTTTATTGCTGGACTGAAGTCCCTCATTACGCCTACAGTTGAACAGAAACGAAATGACTAAACTTGAAGTAATAATGAATCTCAAAGAGACGGATGGACAATGAACAGGCAGATGATTTAGAGGTTAGAAACCTGATTGATGATACTAACGAAGAGCCAATTTAAGCCAAGAGTACGAATGCCCTTGTCTCTGAGGCCCAAAGTCACTGTGATTTGCGGCTCATGATCGATAAGGCCCACTGTCACTCAGGTGTGTTGTTCTGGGGCACATCACCTGAGCTACAAATGGATCAGAAGTTTCACTCAACGTTCAATACTGGTTTAAGATGTCTAACTAACCGTTGAAAAGATGAATGTGAGTCAAGAGTCCAAGTAATTATCAAATATTTATCTCGGCCACTGCCCAGTTCCTGACATTTCAGGGTTTGAGACCCCTATTGCCTATGTCCTAGGTGCTGAAGGATTGTATCAAAACCATACAATAGCATATATAAAGCCCCATCGATAGCCACAAACCGCATCTTGAAAATTGCAACGTGAAAATTTGCAACAAAAAGACAAAACGAATTACCAAATTTGTATTGGTGAAGCCAAAATTACCGATTTTTGCTAATATCTCTACAAATAAGCATTTTAGAGCATACAATGATTCATAAGTCTTATATAAATGTGCTCATTGCGAATACTTTCCAATATCGGAGAAGTTTCTACGACCTTTCTAGCTCCAGATGTAAAAATAATCCGGTAATTCCAGCTGCGATGAGCCAAAAAACAGTTTTTCGTGAATATCTTTAAAACTAGGCACTTGAGACCTTATATTGCTTCATAACTTGTATATAAATAAGGGTATTGCGGTTATTTTAAGCCAATATTCAAGTCTCTAAGTCTTTTAGAAGCCGAGATACAAAAATCCCAAATTTGCGCCTGAGGGCAATTTAGAAATTTCGCCCTGTAGGACTGGGACTACCGATACAAAATGGGTACCTAGATGATTTTGGTTTGGAATGACCTAATGAAAGACCCTGCGTGGTCAAAAATTGTGTACA